AGTAAAAGGGGGTTCAAGCACTTGAACCCCTGAGCTTCTTTTTTTTTTTTTCTACCCTCTGGGGGACAACGTGCTAAAGGTCACGACTACCCCCAACTCATGCCATGCCCCTTCCAAGCCTGCAACAACCCCCTGACATCTCCTGGCAAACGTCTGATTCCGAAATTTTTTTTTTTGCTTCATCCTCTACAATTTATGTTTTGGTCTTTTGTACAAAAAATCACGATATACCTTATCGATTTACAGAGATACAGTACAGTACTGTACTTGGAATCCTGAAGATTTGTGGAGGCGTGTATATAAAGAAAGGGATTTGATGGTTTGGGATTTCTGCATCATCAACTGTACATTCATGATAAAATCTCGTGCAAATACTTTTTCTCAAGAAAAATAATTTCAATCTTTTAAAATAGTTCTTGAAGGTTTTGATTCTCAATTACAATTTTTCACCGTATTTCGGAAAATTATAATTTTTTCGAGAGCTTTGCTAAAAATCCGAGATTCTCGAAGAATTTTGAAAAAATAAGAAATAAGTCAATCTCATTTCAGATGACCTATATATAATCAGAGATTTTTTCAATAATCCATTGCTAAGAAATTCTTGAATATAACAGGGTTTCTTAAAATCGCCGTATTTGAGAAAACACTGCAGTTGCGTAAAATATTTTTTATTTGCCCATTTTCAAAAATCGTCAAAATTCAAATTTTAGTCTTTTTTATTTATTTGTTGCCTAAAAGATAAAACTTCAAACCACACCACAAAAAATGTCCAATGAAAAATTAACTATGACTTCGGACTATTTAAAAATGCGTCGAAGACTTGAAGACTTGCTGCCTGGATTTAAATAAATAATAATAATCTTTTCTGGTGGGAAAAACACAGCGCATACCATTTTTTTCTTTTCTCGAAAAAGTGACAGTTCTGCATAATCACGAAAATAAACAACACTTCACTCAGATTCATCACTACGATTTTCGACGGCAGTAAATAGACAAAAAAATCAAATTATCCGTAGCACAATGATAATTTATCGTATGGAAAACGCGATGAGAAACTTGGGCAGACATTCCTGCCGATAATTGCACGCTAATCCTATTTTTCTAGATTATATACTGAATGAAGGGGTTCTGATAGGAACAAGAACGCCGAACACGCCACTGATGCTGGGGCCCGGAAGAGCCGAAACCTCAAACGATGATGAGAGGCGTCAGCTGAGGCGGAGCAGCGCGAGAAAACTGAACCCCCGGCATGGACCCCAAGTTGATGGGATAGCTGGTCCAGCACTGGGACAATGCCCGCGAGGACCATATATTAATGGGAAAGAGGCCTATGCTGACGGTATATTCCACGGCAATTTTTTAATCCAGCAAACAATCAATAAAAGTTTTTATTGGTTTGACTATTATTCCTGCATGCATGTTTGTTTTCAGATTGACAATTTATGGCAGTGGTTTCCACAATTTTTACATTCATAATTAAACTAAATTTACAGGTGGACTCTCTCTGAAAAAATTCATGGGACCAGAATTTTTTTCAGTGAGACTTTTGTTGTATATTAAACCCCATGAGGATGGGGAAGAAACCTGGTTGGACAAAAAAATGTGTGTTACATCAAGGAAATTATTGTAGTATTGTTGTAGAGAGAGAGAACATACCAGTACAGGTGGTACCTTGCAATGTGACCCTAATCCATCATTGGACTTGGGTCAAATTACAAAGCGGTTGAATTTCAAGGCAACGTCCAATGGCATGTTTTCTAAATGGCATTTGATGTTTCATGTCCCTCTGCAGGTCAATTGTGCAGAAGAGGTGAAATTGATAGTTGACTTCCCAGCAAATTGTACCTTCAAATTGCAGGACAGTCAAATTATGGGAGGTTGAATTGCAAGGTACCACCTCATACAGTGGCTGACCCCCAGCATATATATGGACAATTCAACTTAGGGACACATTGAACTGAAAGCAATCTGCCCTGACATCTGGACAGTAATTAAAGTTACATACACTTTTCCAAGATACCTGGAAATATTGTATCATTTCTAGATTTGCATATTTCTTGAAAAATTTGAGCAACAATGTTTACATTCAAAAATATTAAAGGTACATTTCATCTTAAAATTGCCCTAATTTAGCATGCATCCAATCGAAATGACCAATATCAAGGATAGGACAAGGAAATTAATCAAATAACACGCAAACCATCATTGCTGTATTTCGTAAATTACACAGAAATAACTTTAAAATTGCTATTTGAACTCATAATGGGTGAAGTAACTGAAACCTCGTATTGCTTCATTTTATAAAATCTTAGCCAATCTCGGAAAATTTTGTCACAGCCAGGCTCAACTGAGATGCTTGCAAGGAATAAGTGGCATCAATGTTTTAGGTTCAATGGATTAGTTATACCAAGACAGCAAAGTTCGCGGATTATCTCCAAGATTGAACCCGTGCCAAGTTGGGTTCTGCTAGGACGTATATACCCGCTAGGACGATGTGACTCAAAACCAGCATCATCCCTCATGTATACTTTTAACGTCAGAACAATTAGTCAACAATGCCTGAAATATGCAATAATTTTATTCTCAGGAAATAACTTTTCTTTGCTTTTAGAAACAAAGACTGAATAACATCACACTTATCAGGCGTGTTCTATAAAAAGAATTTTGATACTGAACACTCAAGATGTCCACAGGCATAGGTCGAAGGATTTTTTTCTGCACAAGCTTTTCAGTTTCAGATCGAACTCCCAAAATTGATTTCTGGAGATAGAAGTTGACCTTCGTAAAAATCTAAAAGAACAATGAATAACTCAAAAATTGTAGTTGAGGGCTTCTTGAAGCAGAAAACTGTGATGGAATGTTGCGATATTTTCTGTACACGGAATTAACTGACGAAGAGAGCAAGCTGCATTCATTAGCGTAGAAACATTTCAGCGAACATGGAAATATTGTCAACACACGTGCTCCAAAAAATGTATAACTATTGCTGAAATCAAATCGAACAAGGCATATTTAGAATCATACCCGGTCTTTGTCTCAAAATAACCTAAATCTCGGTTCATTGAAAGAGATGGAATAAAATATGAGAATTTTCTGATTTATGGTAAATCAATGGAAGACTTCGGCAAATCATTTACAAGAAAAATGAATAGTCACGTAATTCAAACCTTCTAAACAAACAGAAGAGGTGGGTTCACATTAATTACCTACGTTAGTCTTTCTCGTACACGACATTCCTCCTTTATACTGTAAATTCACTTCATCATGCTAATCAAACCAAAATTCAAAATCAATACTGAGCTGCACATACCTTAATCGAGCACTCAAAGCATTCATGTCCATTCACAGGAATAAAAAGAACTTCAAGGTCTCTAAATGGAAGCTCTTCAGGTGGACTCCCTGCAATGGAATTCAGGGGATCAGAGACAGATTTGTCTTCGATAATCCCTATAAGGGACGAAAAAAAATCGTTTCATTGTACAAAGAAGATCGTTGAAAGAGTCTACTTGCATTATCTTCGCAAGACTGAAAATTTGCTTACAGACGATCAAACCTGAACTTCAGAGGACGAGTACAGTACAGTACTTGATTTAAAATGACGGGGAAAACGCTTCAATTGAGAATTGAATGCTACTGAAAATCACAACACAACCAAAGCAAGGATTACAGAAGTTGTGAAAACACTGATTCCACAGACTTTTCTCGCACACCAGAGCATGAACACTGGCCCTGGACTTCAATAGCACGGGAATATGCTCTAGAAGCAAAAAATGATCAAAACACTCACACATGCAGTAGCTGTCGAACAATTTCTGCCACACAAAACAAAAGAAAACGCGTAAGCATGAACCACCAGGAATAACTGAAGTTCAAAAAAGGAATTAACTTTCAGCAAAAATGAAAAGAAGAAACGATCAAAAGTGCTTTCAACAACATCGCTTTACTTCCACTACGCGACAGAAATCGACCCATCAGCGCAGAATCGAAAGAAAAAACCGGGCTCACCCAAATTTCCACCTTCCACAAAAAACCCCGATCAATGCACGCCAGGACACGCACAAGTGAAGGAAAAAAAACGCAAAATCAATTACACGAAAAAATTCGGTGCATTCCAAAATAAAATTCAATGCTGGACCAACATCAATAAAACAAAGCCTGAGTGACCTCCGCCATTAATTTTCCTTCCAAATCCACGTGCGGGTCTTTTTCCATGAACGCGCAGCCAAGTTTTTCCTCTCTTTTTATCACATCCACGATTCCGGACTCAAGTTCCAACGCAATTGTCGGACAGGGTCACGATACGACAAGGAAAGAAACACGAAAACGTGGACAAAAATGTCCAGTTCCAAAGCTCAGCGACGGGAACGACAGAAAAAAAAACACTTCAAAATTGTAATGTATGCACACAAAGCCGAGTCCTCCTTTTTCAATCTCGCGAGAAATTATTGAATTGAAAACTTTCGATTTCGCAGATGCTTGAAACTGTCTTCCGCTGACAGAAATTCGACGAAGTTCACAACTGATGAAGAGGCGACCTCTTCCGCACACTCAGACGCATTCCAGAAGTGAGGACCCATGAATAAAACGATATAATGCTCTGCAACGAATTGGAAGGTTCTTACACACTATACATTTCTACAGTAAATGAAGCGTCTGAAAAGTCAATGCACAAACCAATTTTAAATCGCAATCGCGCACATGCACGAGATGTTTTTACAACAGCCATAAAATCTGACAATCACGATTCAAAGATTCCACAGAACGCGCTGGAAAATGAATCACACCTTCATTTTCTGCACGAATCGACATCATTACTTCCATGAAGATGACGAGTGATCTCCCGTACTTCACGAGAAAGATTCATGAAAGCAAGAATTCAACTCATGAAAGTATCAACTGTTATGATGAACTCGAGGCCTTCAGTTAACTGCACGAAAATGATGACGTTGCAGTAAAAAAAAATGTTGACTCCGGGTACACAACAAAAGAGCACGATTTCGTCACGTGAGAAACTTTGGTGCAAGTCTAGCATATAATTTATAATATAAATCTCGATTGATCAGGCTTAGATTAAAGAAGAAATTAGTTTCATAGAGATGGAATCATTTTCCCTCTTCTGTGAACTTGTATTTCTTTGTTGAGATTCGTGATAAATAAAAGTGTCAGTGGCTCTTGGTGAAAGTATTCCTTTTGATTACAACTAATCCCCTGTTTACACAACAATAGGATAAATTACACGAAAAATGCAAAATAAGGCAAGGGATCTAACAACTTAGAGTCGCGTCAGGAATCGAGATATTAGGACATTAGAAGGGCAAAAAAAATGGGACAGGGTGAGTTTCGAAGTCAATAACTGATCATCTGAGTACCACACGCACAGCAAAATAAATTTCGGAACAACTTCCAGCTCAGCTTAAACGCATTCAAAGTTGTGTAGGCCGTAATCCCTTCTTCGCAAATTATAGAAATATATGGGCAAGACGCACACGTGAAATTTGGTGGGCACGACGCACCGCACTAAAACTTTTGGAACAAAGCTATTTCGGAATGCACAAATCCGACTTCGTTCAGCTTTACAGGATTCAAAATTTACTCAAGGAGTGCATAATCCCCGTGGAGCCCTTATGTTGATGCACAGTGCACATTTTTCATGATCCATCGGTCCACACTTCTGCAACGCATCTCGAGTCATCAGAGCAAGCTTGGAACTTCAAATAATCAAGACTCAAGAACAAAACAACACAACAAGGAATGCGGGTCAGAGCGCGCTTTGGTTCCGAGATCTCGGGCAAGAACAAGAACAGAATGAAGAAATTACACCTTCAAGCAGTCAACTCGGTGTCCTTCAAAAAACAACGTCACAACCACCGAGACTGGGTAAACCTTCCGGCCACGAAAAGTGTCTGAACCCAGTCCTCTATTTTATTGACTCAAAGAAATAAAAAAACATTCGCGGCATTAAGAATTTCAGTGAAAAACAAGTCCTAAAAGTACTGTACTGCATGTCCCTCATGTCATGAAATTAGTCTACATTCAACAATCTCTTCGACGATTGAACAAATAAAATCACGGACCTTCAGATCCTTTCAACTCGGGACACTTCCCGAAAGCTTTCCCGGTCCAACCCGATTCTTCAGCAATTACAAAGACAAGAATAAGATTCTTAAGGATACACTAAAATTCACTACAACGAAACATTTTTACGCTGAAAAAAAAGTGTTGCGTGACATTCGGACAATTTCAACTGGAGACACTTTTCGCGGTAGGACAGATTACAGTATCAAGAAAGAGTGGACGACTTCACGAGGAACGCCAGAGTTGAGAGCTTCACGCGGATACACCCGTACGAAAAATTTGAGACAGTTCTCGAACATATCACACCCAAGACCACAGGGGCATTTTCTGCTGAGAGGAAAAACAAAGCCTATCTAATTGAAAACAATGTCCTAGATAATACGGATCGTTCACTGTTATAATTCGCTATGGTTCACTTCGGACTCCGACGCGTCAGTTTTCGACACTTTATCTGCCTGCGGTAGAGGACTCGGAACTTCGGGCTCCTTCAACGGAAGATCCAACTTCTCCGTGGCTTTGAGCACTTGTTCGAAAACCTTTGCCGATTCCGGATTCTCCTTCAACTTCTCGTCCAACATGGACTTCAACAGTTCCATCTGATCAGGAGTCATTTTGCTCGGATCAAACAGATTAGGCGGCAGTTTAAACGCGTCGTCGACCTTCTTGGCTTCGTCCGCAACGTTTGATCCGTCAGCCTCGGCTTTCTTCTTGGCTTCTTCGGCTTTCTTCGCAGCAATTTCTTCGGCTTTTCGAGCGGCGTTGATTTTCCCCTTGTTGACCAGGTATTTGATTTCTCGATCCAACGCTTGCATCTTTTCCGCGATCATCGACAACGTCAACACGGGCTTCGAAGTCAGAGCCAGGGCGTCCTGTTCAGCCAGTTTCGTATCCCGCCATTTCTCTGTGTCCGTGATCAACTTATCCAATGTCTCGAGTTCGACTTTAGTGAAGAGCTCTTCCTTCATAGCCTTGGCTTCCGCGGAAAAGTTTTTCGAGGACGCGACAGAGGTTTCCAGGTACTCAAGCATTTCGGGACGCCGTGCGTGTTCGGCGACGCGGTCGAAAATTGCCGCCGTTTTTGATTTAAGAGATGACAAACGCGACCGGAATTCCGTTGCCTCGGCGTCGAATCCGTCTTCGTAGAGCCAGTCGGAAACTGTAGAGCATTCCGCAAGGACGATATCGCGTTCTTCAGACGTCGTGGCGCGTTCGAATTCTTCCTGCGTGAACTTGTCTTGCACGTCGAGGGCGAAGCTTTCCAGAGCGTTCCTGGCGGCTTCTCGCTCGTGTCTTTTGTTATCCGCGGCGTTGAGTTCTTCTAGACGCTTCGCGCGGGTTTCCAGAGATTCTGCAGACGGTTCCACCACGTCACGAAGGATTTCCAGAATTTTCAGGGTCTCTTTAATGTTGGAAACTACCGGCTTCCCGTCGGACGTGGCATTGGTTTTTGTCTCCGCATTTGCCACGGTTTCGTTTGTTGAAGCGCTGGCATTTTCCTTTGGTTGGGCGTCGGATGACGGAGCTTCTGTTTCCGCCCCGGCTTCATTTTCTTCCTTTCCACCAGAGAAAAAGGCGCTAATTGTGTTTCCGAGTCGACTCAAAGGCGATTCGGCGTCGTGCTTCTTCGTCTCTGTTTTCTCAATGACGTATTCCACAGAGGTTAAACGAACCACGCCACTTTCATCCAGCACGAAGTGGGCCTTGACACCCTTCATGTCCACGGATGTTCCTTCGGCTTGATTAGCTGAGTGCTTGTTTATCGCATCTGATACTCCGGATATCTTCACTTCCGAGATGTTCAGGGAACCCAGATTTGCCGCGTCAGATGCTGGGAGATGCGACAGGTCACCATAGTTCACGTTGAACGAAAAATCATCGACGTGTTTCCGGAAGGACATGATTTTCTTTTGAGGATACGGATTCATGGGACCAAAGAGAGAGGATCGCACGGTCTTCGAACTCACTGTCCCGTCTTCATTCGTTACTTCGCGAACGTAGTCCACTTGAACAGGGTAGATTACTGCATCTTTCACAACAAACTTTTTCACTTTGAAGGCTGGGCTTTGGTCGGCGGCGCGATAAACTGCGCCCATAGCGGCGGCTTCATCCGTGTTGAGAGATTTGCCGAGTTCCTTGGAGACGTATTGATGAATTTTTTCCTGTACTTTTGGCACACGGGTTCCGGCACCGACGAGGATCACCTGATCAATGTGTTCGAGGGATAAGCCGGCGGATGAGACGGCGTCTTTAAGAGGTTGTGCCACACGCTCGAACAAATCGGCGCAGAGAGTTTCGAATTCATCCCGTGTAACCGGGGCTCTGAAATCCTGTTCATCCAGCAGACCTTCAACCTAAGATATTAAAAAAACGGAAAAATTAAAAAAAAACACGATATTTCGAATCAGATGGCAACTGACAAAATCTAATCAAATTTTATGTTTCGACATCAGTTGGAAAAGATTACGCACGCTACCCCGATAAGGTCAAGGCTGTCACTTATTTCGCTTACCTGAGAAACGTGATCCGAATTTGCCGAGAGAACGTTCTTCAGTCGACCAGCTTCCTTGAACAGCTTCTGCATTGAACGCGGATTCTTGAAAACATCATTTGGAGTCTTCTTTTGAGAGTTGAATACATTTGCTAAATGGTCTCTAAGTCTCAACTGCATCTCGAGTCCACCGAGTGTCCTGTCGTAGCCTATCCCAATGATTGATACCTGCGGATTCGTTTCCACAAATCCTCGTTCCTTGGTTTTCGCAATTTGGTATGAAGCAACAGTGGCAACTGTAGATGACGCTCCCATGTCGAAGAAAAGAATACGTTGCGGGGTTTCGGTGAATTCCTTGCGACGGAAAATCCCATAATTGAGTGCAGCTGCCGTGTTGTCGTTGATGAGCTGTAAAACCTTCAAGTTCGCAAGTTCAGCGGCACGGAGCATAGCGCGGCGTTCCGCTTGGTTGAAAAACGCCGGCACCGTGATGACCACGTCTTTGATCGGTTTTTGCTCCACGAATTCTTGGGCATATTCACGACCCTTGTTCAGTATCATAGCGATGAGTTCTTCGGGACTGTAAAGAGTGTTTTCATCGTGTCGGAACACGGCCAAGCCAGTTTCAGGATCAGCGACGATCTCATACTGAGGAAACCGTTTCAGGAACTGCTGAACGAGCGGATTGTCCGGGGTTTTACCGAGTACATCGAGGAGATATATGTAAGCCTGTTTCGGAAATCTACTTCCAACGTTTTGCGCGTCTTCGCCGAACACACGTTCGCCGTCGCGGAATGCAACGGCAACTGGAGTTTTTCGTTTTGATTCCTTGTTTAACGCGATTTCCATTGGCATTCCGGGGGAGACTACCGCAACTTTCATCCATTCAGAACCAAGATCAATACTCATGACTGCTACGCTCTGAGCCGGAGAGATCACAGCGGAAATCAGAAATGCCGCGACGACGACTGCTAATAAATGGGCCATGATATCCTCTGTGTAGATGCCTGTTTGCAAAAAAAAAAAAAAAAAAAAAAAAATGCACGCAAGGGTTGATCTGACATTTCACCATAATAAAACTCACCAAAACAAAACAAAAAAGCAAATTTTTGATCGAAAAAAACTGGTTGAGTCAACAAAACGAGAACGAGTCACCATTCTCGTGACTAAAAAGATTAAATACTGTACATGAAATGCATGATAGATAATAATTTGCATCCTTCAATATTCTTTTAAAGGAATATGATTTTCCGTACTTTAAAAAATATATTTTCTGTTCTGACACTCTCTGCAGTCTGCAAATCGTCCAGGAGTTACAAATTTAACCTTCACGCGACATAAACAAGGAATTCGGCGACAAATACGCAATCAAACGTAAAATCGCAGACATGGGACACCAGATGGCTAAGCAGAAGCCACCTTCACAGAAGTAAGCACTGTACATCAGTATCTAAGAAGATCAGTATCTAAGATTTTTCCTTCAATTAGCTGACTCGAACAAAGGTTTAAATCCCGGTACTGTATTCTTCATTGTTACAAATTATCAATATAATCAACGTTTACAAAAAAGATTTTCTCCATAAACTAATCTTCGGAATGATGCATCAAATGTCGCAAGTTTATTGGTATTTCCGTTCAGGAAGACAAGCGCGTAGAGGCGTCTCATCAAATACGGAATCAACCCATTTCGAACAAAAGCCGACATGAACATTACACAATCCAATAAATTAGTGGGGTACAAATCATGACATACTCACGTTGACGATGTACTGTAGTAGGAAAAGATCCGGAAGCTCTGCGGCGAAGTAATAGTTTTTCACTACCAAGAAAGCAAGATTCGTCTCATTTTATCAAGATTGCCATACTCCGACTCACTTTAAGAAATCTGCAATCAAAACAAATCGGAAACGGATGTGAAAACGGAACATGGCTTCAAATAATAAATTTGACAAACAGAGTAGAATAGTCACTCCATTTCAGATCACACAAAATTATGGAAAAAAAAGGGGTCTGTGTTTGATCACTCAGTTTTCATGACGTTGGAGTTCGATCCTCAGAACAAGTCGGAAACGGATGTGAAAACGGAACATGGGTTAAAATAATAAATTTGACAAACAGTAGAATAGTCACTCCAATTCAGATCACACAAAAATAAGGAAAAAATAAAAGGGGCCTGTGTTTGATCACTCAGTTTTCATGACGTTGGAGTTCGAGCCTGCAAATTCACACTTTCTATTAGGAATAGTTCTGATTCGTCCACCATCCCCAATTCAAACTGACCGAGAGACTCCATCACGTGTCGTTCTAATTGAGTCCGATCCGGGCAAATCTGCATGTGTTCTGCCATATATCCCTTTTTGATCCTGTGCAATAAGTTTAAAGGGCACGTCTCCAACTCAACCCCTGGGTGATTCTAAAAATCAACGACTTGGCCTGAAAATTCTTATCAAATCCCAATCGTGTATCACTTACTTTCGCACATTTAATGAGGTGCCGCTGGAATACATCGCTTCTAATCTGATGAGCAGGATTGTACGGACACTCCAAGGTTTTCTCCGGCGCTAACATTACGATAGGAGGATTACTGCCGACTCCTGAACAGAAGACGTCACACTGAACGTGAATACACAACCCCTAACTTACGGCATGTAGCCGAGCCTTCGGAAGCGAGCTTGACGCAACCGAAACGAATAACACGTCATCAGGAATCATCTCGAAAATGGGGGAGACTCATTCAAGTAATACACGCAACCAGCCATGGACAAAGTTAGCACTCCGGAAGTCTCAGATTATTCCACAGCATCTAGAATAGTCAGATTTCTCGGAATCTGACAGAATTCGCGGAACCAAGGTTTAGGCCAATAGCATCCAATATTAGGTGAAGGATTTAAAATTCTGTAAAACAATCAGCGACCGCCATTCCCAGTGGTACTTCTCGATTTCGTTCGGCAAGCAGTACGAAATAGAACCTGCCTTCTGCATCTAAACATTTCAAATGCTTCATCCACACACTGTAACTATCTTACACGTAACTTTCAAGATCGATTAACCATGATCACTGAAGCACTGAAACTCCACGTGTCCCTGCCGCTCACGATATTGCGGCCGGGGGAAGGGCAGGACTGCTTTAGCGACCGGCAGTTTCGTCCAGCTCGCCCATTCTGATTTGAGCTGAAACCCGGCTCACGCGACACCTGTCTTGCGGGGATGTTCTTCGAACGACATCTATTTTTTATTTTCAACAACAACAGAATCCGATCGGCGGCGTGGTGGTTTAACTGCGATGTAAATAAAGAGTTCAGCACCAGGAGGGAACGAAGAACAGTTTTTAGAACCATGTTCGCCCGAGGGACTGTAGTGACCTGAGGACAACGTCAGGCGTTTGCAGGATTCATGAAAGCTCCATTAACTAGATTAGATTCAGTAAAATAGTTAGATTATTCAGAAGGCACCGTTGAAATGCGTTTGTGCGCATGTGGTGAAAACAAAGATCACGTGTGGGTGATACGTCGTGCAGTTATGTGTGAACGACGTCGGATTGTCGGTTGGACCTACTGTCAGTCATTCCTGGCGTGAAGCATTTCTGTCGCTTCATCTTCGTATGTATCGGGTAACTGATCAATGGGCTTGGTAAAAACTTGTGATATTTCTACTTTTCTAGACAAATTTGTGCTTAGTCGCGATTCTTCCTATCCGCGATTTTTCGTTTCCAATTTGCTCTGTCGGGGAGTTTCATTATTTCGAATGTCAGGCAAGGCCTATGAACGAACTAAACAGATTTAAAATGCTTCGTATGCTGCGTTCGGAAGGTTCAGGTTGTGTACACGGAAAGATAAATGGTTCCTGTGTTTTTCTCGATGTCACAGGACGTCTCGGATATGGATTTAAACGTATTGACATCAGTGCGATCCGTCGCTGACGGAAGATGTGTTGTGTGCGGAAACGATGTTGGTGAATCGGGGTCTTCGAAACAGTGCTGTGATCCTATGCTTAATTTGAGCGTCGGTGAATTTCTCATCAAATGCGACGTGATGCCCGCCGGTTCCTTCTTGATGAGCTCCGCGCTTTGTGCATCTTGTTCATATTTTGTCGTTAATGCTGATAGAGCGTGGGCGATCGTCAGTGACTCCGTCGATGCCCTTCGATCTCGTCGAGTAGAGGATAATTCAACTGAACGCGGTAAGTACTCCATGGAGACACGTTAGGTCTATTCTCTGATTTTTATGTTCAGAAAATATTTTTTTGGTATACTTTCTGTGGCAGCCGGAAAGTTTCCAAGAGCTACGAAAAAGGAATCATCACTGCCTCAGCAGGTGAGTGTACTATTACATTCTTGAATTATTTTTTTCCTGGTTGCTGTAAGTATTGCCGAATCTTTTTTTGGGGGGGGGGGGGGTTGTTTACTCAGAAGCCCTAGCGTTCACGTTTTAATTCAGCATTCTTCCGAAAAAAATCAAGTTGTGCTACGTTATAGTACTGTACACCTCATCAAATAATAGGTGTCCAAGTCAGCCCTCATCAGAATTAGTCTACGTCCGAGGCCGCGTGTGAAGTTTTCTCTAGCGTTGGGATTCATTAAAATGTACAGTATATGTAACAGAATCTCTATATCCTTTAACAGCGATTTTCAAGAAGTGAAAGAGGGAGCATTGGGTCGAGCCGATTAGAAGTTGTGAAGCAAACGCGTTGCAGTCACTGCAACAAGGTGTTCCCATATGGAACATTAGAGGATAAGAGTGCGTTCGAAGCACACAAGGCATCTCATGAAACCAGCATCGGAATACACTTCAGTAATGGTGTACGAGATCATTTGTACTCTTGCGAAGAATGCGGGAAAATGTTCTCATCGGATGTGAACCGGCGACGACACACGACAATGATGCACAGTGAAAAATTCAAGAAGAAAAAGAGCTTGTACTATTGCAGACAGCATCCTTGCGAGGAATCTTTTTCATCTTCAAGTTTGCGTAACATTCATGAACGTAGCATGCATGGCGTTTCTGTAGCAGATGACATGGTCGAGCATAGGGATTCAATCAGAGTGACGACTTCTGCGCGGATTCCGTTGCATAGACTTCCGAATCGGCGGTTCGGAGCGAAAAGGCGCCGCCGCACAGCCAATATGAAAGCCACGGCTCGAAGCTTCAAATGCGACGAATGTGGGTTGGCCTATTTCTGGAGGAATCATTTGATACGACATAAGAAAAACGCTCACGGTTTTACTCCTTTGTTAATCCCCAAAGACGAGCCGATTGATAGTGAAACCGCGCCGCAATCCGACCTTAACGGGGAGCTCGAAATTATCCGTTTCGACGAAGTTGGCCATGAACATGAGGATAATGAGGAAAACTTGGACATCGATCTGGGAGCTTTTAATACCGAAGGCGTTGAGGACAGCGCAGTGAGCAATGCAGTTGAGTCTTTGTTGGCCTCATCGTCGAACAAACCAAACGGGGCTGCAACTCACGCTTGCGTGACCTGCGGTCAGCTATTCCCGCGGAAAAATCTACGGAAGAGTCACGTGCTTCAACATCATCCGGATGCTTGCGTTTGTTGTGGAGATTTACACACTATTTGCAAGGAGGAAGAACAAGTCGAAGGAACCTGCAACGTTTGTGGATCCGTCGTTCCGCATGTGAACGGCCACAAGGTGTGGGAGCACAAAGCCAGGAATTGCGGGAACTGTGCCGCAGTGTTCGCGAGTCCCATTGCACTTGCCGAGCATCAGAAATTGTGTTGTTTTGAAAGTTTCTTGAGCATGGAGGCCAGCGAGGTCGATGATACTAGTGTGAACGCGGAAGGAGAAAGTGTGTGTTCCCCGTGTTCATTTTGCCAATTTGTAGGTTGGTCGCAGGAGGAATTGCAGGAGCATATTTCCAATTCCCACTATGCTTGTATCAAGTGTTCCGAGATATGCAGCGATCAGGTCGCTTTCTCAGAGCATCTGAAGATGCATTCCGCCGCATTGCAGTTGTAGTTTGACTCTTTTTCTTTTTTTTTTTAATCCGAGTGTGTTTTCTGTTAAGGCTTGCATCCATTCCGCATGGTCAATTTTATTAGGCCTTGAGTTAATCCGTTCTAGAAAATTTGTAAGAATGAAATCGTCATCCGTTAATGATCAAATAACTCTTGAGAGTGAGATGTACTGTATAAAACGAAATTGCTCAAAATAAACCTTTCGTGCTCATCTGCAGAATGCTCTTGAATTATTCAACCTATCTACTTAATGTCGATATTCCTTTTGCCATGCTTGCTGAAACTTCCAGCGGTGTTTTTCTTCTTTTCTGAATTCTACTTCATACCGTAATTAGGCACCAGCAGTCTGCTAATTTGTAAAGTATTTTTACTGAATTTATAAAATTTGTTGAACTAAGACTTGAAAAGATGATGGCATCTCTGATTAGCCATAATCAGTTAAAATTGGAGTTGAGGCCTCAGCAGAATTTGATTTGCAGTATTTATGTTTTGATCGTCTTTTATCATATTGAAGTAATCTATTTCGGTTAGTATACCTGAGTAGATAACAATATGTATTGAAACTAGAAATGTCGCAATTTTGTAATTTCCTTGATCATGGTTTTTTTTTTTTAATTCGGGGATTGAATCCGTTGATAAAACTTCGAAAAACCAGTTGCAAGTCAGTAGATATGGTATTTGAAAATACAGGTATCTCAAAATGTGGACTGTCCATTCTATTTGGTTTCAAGATGTCAATGTATAATTGAATGCACGTTCATAATTTGTTGAAGTACAATATATCTTTTTCTGTGGTATTTATCGAAAAAAAATGTTTTTCAATGTGAAGAGATCATTTTCATCATGCAAAACTGCGTTGAATAAATGCTTATAGTAGTCATGCGTGAATCTGCATCGTTTTTTTTTTTATATTTTCTTGCCCATTAATTCATCGGGTCGAAATAGAGCCTGTTGCAGTTGTTTAACTTGTTCCAAAAATAAATATGCTAGTTTTTGTGTGGGACGCAGCAGTTCAGATTTTCGCTGTATGTAATGGATCGTCTGTATGGTCGATGAGCTTTTTTTAAACAGCTTTCGTGTGACAAGAATCGTTATCCACAAATGCGAAGTTTTAAAGGGATCTGCGTCTTTGTGCGTGTGAAGTTTGCCATGGGATTTGACCATTTCCCTATTGTTTGTTGGTGGATGCATTTTTGTGAATTCTAGGCAGAATTATTTGACGTGGCGTCATGGTGTGTTTTAAATTGAAGGAAATTGAAATGTATAGCAATTCCGTTATTTCGGCTTTTTGGCATTTTCTATTGAATCCTTTGAATTTAAGGTGTCCTCTTTGACAGCAGAGTACACTAATTCTTTATTTATGTTTTTCGTCGTGTTCAGTGTGGTTTATGACATTTTATTGCTCCCTTATTTATTCTTTTAATTTTACTTTATATTTTCTTAATTCCTTGTGCCTTTGTCAATTGAATTGCCGCGAAACGTTTTTGTAAATCATTCAAGATCGAAACAACTGTATGGTGGACAAAATCTTAAATCTGCCTACTTGTTCGTCTGTCGTTTCACTTCGTGATGATGGCGCAACTAACGTGAAGTGTAATCTTTTGTCCCTTATTTTACAGAAACATATGCGAAGTGCTCCCTGTAGGGGTTAAAATTTCGACCAGTCTGGGAAACTTGTTTCCGGTGAGTAACCGTTTTCTGGTTGAATATTAGGAATACTGAAATAGTGTTTTTACTTTTCAGATGTTAAATAATCCTTGCACTGAAAGTTTTTGAAAGTTGAGCGGTTCTTGATGCCTGCCACTTCCGCCGAGAGCGTTCAATTGAAATTGGTCAGTTATTTCTTATTTTTAAACAGAACTATATTAACTATGGATTATTTGCGAATTATGAAATGAGAAAATTTAAAAATTCTTCGATCTGTTGAAATAACCTACGTCTTGACGGCTTGAGCAACGTTGATGAGAGAAACATTTGTAAAAGACAAATTTTTCGTATTTTCAAAATCTTGCTTTGGAGTTCATGTACGGGAGATTTTGAAAACTGTTTTATGAATTTTATTCCCTGCGACAATAAAGTTTGAATCTTGTGAGCATTCAAATTTTGCTAGCATTTTAAATATCATTTTCGATTTGATGGAAAATCCGTTGATTTGTGTGAAACAACTGCAAACTCTGCAGCGAACCATTTATTTCTAACGATTCCTTCATGTTTTTTCGTTGCAGAAAAAATGCCTTCAGCTCGCGCAGAATCAATTGCCCGTGGATCAGTTGTTGGGACAGAAAAATCTTGTTTTGACCCAAATGTTCCTTGCTGCATTTGTCAGCAACACTCGACCTATGGCCAAAATTGTCAGAATACCTTGATTGAAAATAAGCCTGTTGCGGATGTTCTTAGCCAACTTCTTGGAGCTGCGTTTGAAGCCCTTTCTCTTTGCTCCATTGTCTGCAATGACTGTTTTCGGCTTGTGCTAAATTGTCACCGAGCTGGTGCCATTTTCACCGATATACACGCAGAATTGTCTTCGAAGTTACCGAACAAACCTTCACCACCCAGTCATGTACCAGGTACAGTATGGTAAAAAAATGAGTTGATGGACGTTCGTAATACAGTATCATGGTAAATGTGTCTTACGGAAAATTAAAATTGGCTCACTAAAATCAAGTTTCTGTACTTCAATTTTTTTTTAATCGTCACTAGTACCGTTTTTATGAGGGTATTCTCAATAATTTTGAGTTCAATTCCGATGATAAGTGTGACACATTCCATATTTTGCCCTCTTGAACAGTTGAAACAACTCCGAATTTGTATTCGCTTTCCTTTTTTTTTTATAAATCGTTATGCGTTCGGGATTTCAGATGCACAGAGCGATGTTCTTCGTCCTCAAAGGCAAATTTCAATCATTGGCTGTGAGTCCCTGGCCGAAAAGGAACCAAATTCTCCTGAAGTCACTGTTGTTGACGAATCATATGGGATCTCCATCATCGCAGAAGCTCAGCAGTCCAAGTCCGTCGACAACAGTGTATCATTAACATCAACGCAAAGTTTTCATGAAGAACCTGCGTCAACAAGACGTTGTGATGTTTGTCACATTAATTTATACTATACCACAGCTGCGGATAAGTCGTATTTTGAAGAGCACCTCCGAAGGCATGGATGTCCAGTGAAGGTGAATATTTTTTCCGATTGTTTTTTGGTGTATGAAGGCTGTTTCATACATTTTCCCGCCATTTGCTTCTTGCGTGCGTAGAATGATATTTTGTCATTTTCTGGCCACTCTTCCAATTTTTCCTCGCCCAGATTTAAATGTGTAGAAGACACAATTTGAACTTTCACCTCATCTTTGAAGCAAAATTGAGATTTGCCATGCTTGTTTATGACAGTCTACGTGTTACTATTTTTACATTGGAGAAATTACATTTTTTCTTTGAAGAAAAGCCGCTGCTAATTATTTGTCGCTTGTTGGAAGTTTTTATCATCACAGTTGTTGAAAGGATTCCAAGTCAGAAACTTGAAGACTCACTTCGGTATTTGAACCGGAGCGCTTGCAAAAATTTGTTTCATTACTTGATTGATGTTTTTCCGTTTTGCATTGTGTCTAAAAAAATTGTTGGTGATTATTTTAGGATTAAGTTATGGTATGTAAAGAACTGTTAAGGATTGAGCATCAATGGAAACTTCAAGACGTATGCCATAAAATGAGTTTTTAGCATTAAGGCTTTATGTTTCTCCTCTCAATGATGAGTTCAAGATGCTGCAGTACTTTCAAAATTGCCGCTCTTTCCAAATGGAATGCTTTTATTATTTTTTATCAAAATTTATTCAGGCCTTCCGTACATATTTTTCAGGATGTGACGATGACTGACAAGAAGGACCGTATCTTTCGCTGCAAGCGGTGTCCAAGAACCTTTTTCACCCTTTTTGCTTTGATGAAACACAAGAAGAAACATCATCAAGTAGCTCCAATGAAGGTTAGGCGGGCGCCTTGTAAATACTGTGGTCGAGAATTCAGGGTGCCATTGGCACTTTCAACTCATCTGAGATTTTGTAAACAATATAAACATACCGAGAAAGGCTTAAAAACTGTGTGCATCTGCGGCAAGAGTTTCTCTACGGAATTATCGTTGGAACTTCACGAGGCAGCGACTGGCTGTAGGAGAGCTCTCTTTGGCGGAAATGATGTAGTATCAGCAAGTACAGGTTTTAATCCTACCCCCGGCAGCAATGAGTTATTAAGAAGAAGTTTGTCAGACGTTGGCTGCGAACAAAACCTCATGTCTGTTGACGCCTTCCCGACTCTTGCCGGGCAGTTGATGGAAAGTCGTGTAGATCCCCTTCGGATTCATCCTCCTTCATTGACTTGCGAAAGGTGTCTACGTGTTTTTTCGACAGCTGCTGGGTTTGCTTCGCATCGCCGAGTTTGTGGAATAACGGCTTGTAACGTTCAGTGCCGATATTGTCACAGAAAATTCCGTACGATCCAGCATTGCAGGATACACATGGCACGAGCCCATCCTAATGAGAAGGAAATGGAACGTGCTCAGGAGAATTTGGAAAGTTTGCTGATGGAGAACCATGATGATCCCCTGCAAACGGGATACACATTCCATCAATATTTGGAACAACTCGGTTCGGAAGTCGAAGTTACGAAGAAGAAGAAAAAACGGGAAATTCCTTGCAAATTTTGCCACAGAAAGTTTGCCTCATTCCAAAACCTTGAGGTCCACATACATTTCGCCCATGCTGATCGGGTACAAAAGGAATTCAACGCCCGAACAAATGTGGAGAACCAAGATGTAGAGTTGATCGAAATCCATGATAATCCAGAGGAAATAGAATACACTGTTCAAACATATATTGAAAGTCAGGTTGAAAAGCTTATCGGAATCAATGCGCCCGGACAAGAGGGATGCAGTGCATTAATAAATGTTGAAAGGCAAGTTGAGAAGTTAACTGGAAACCAGGATGATCCGAAGCGAAGGAGAAGCGATGCTCGGAAAAGGGTTGAAATTCCGGCAGAAGATATGGTTGAAAACCATGATCTGGATCCAAGGGAAAACTCTTTTCCAGAATATTTTGTGAGTGGAGTAGACAATTTAGTGGAAAGCCATGATAATCCGGAGGAAATGGAATATCCTGTCCAAGATAATGTTGAAAGTAAGATTGAAGATTTTATGGAAAACTTTCCTGACCCATTGGATGAAAACACCGATGGGGATGATCTACAAGATAATTATTCGGAGGTGAGTCTTTCCCGATTTACCAATTACATATTTGTTTTTGCCTAACTTCCTGTTCACCTTTTACGTGGGAAAATGGGTTTCGTTCCCAAGGATTATATTAACTTTTGGGTTAAAATAACGAACCGAATGAAACATATGAAAAATTTATGACTTCGATTCAAACTTCAAAACTTCCTCTTTCTTGTCGAGCGGTTTTATCTGCCGAACTTGGTCCAAAACGTTTTAAATAATTTTAGTGTTGCGTTGTAAATCAGAAAATATTCTTCATGACTTTCCATTGTCCCAGATTTCACGAGTGCCAATAAGATTAAATTCTTGAAACCTTTATAATTTTTTATGGTAAGAATGCAATTGTTGTACAGTACTTCATCGCCAAATAAGCGTATCAAATATTGAGTTGAAGATTTTGGGAGGATCTTCATACTTCATAGTATTTTTCATGTTTTCAGCAGGAAATTGATGATGAAATAACGAAAGAAAATTATAAAATCGGGGAAAATATGAAGAACTCCGGCGAAGATGGTGCGCTCATCAAATGCAGGCGTTGTGAGGCGACTCTTTGCGGCGCTGAGTTTTTCATTTCACACCTGTCCAGTTGCCTGTCTCTCGTAAAATCCCAACTCAAGTGCAGGATATGCCACATGGGTTGTATATCTCGAACCAGGCGTATTGTGCACACCCAAAGCAAGCAGCATTTGAGCGACGAACCGTGCGAATGTTGCGGATTTGCTTCTAGTGACTTGGGAGATGGTGCTCATCAAGGAGGTTGGTGCGATAAGTGCAATAAGGATATTCCGCATTTGGAAGGTCACTTGACCTGGCTGCACGACTCGCAAATTTGCCCGGAATGCGATAAAGAAATTCCGAAAACACCGGGTCGGATGGAGCGTCACGCTTTGGATTGTTTCGGCGACGTAATTGGATGAAGACACATTTTTACTTGACTTCAAGACGTCGTTTTTTTTTTTCAACAGATTTTGAGTATTTTATGACGTTTTGATGTGTATGAAAGCTGTTCATTGGATGATCCAAATACGTACTCCCAATCATTTGACGGAAGATCTCGTTCTATAGCTGAAAATAAAATGAGAGCATGATCTAGTTTTCGAATAATTTCAGCGCTGAGTGAAAATTTCGGAAGCTTGTGATATTTTTCCTCTGACTAATTCTATTCAAGCTATTTTTTGGCAGTGATTTTGCTTGCTAGGGTCATTCACTTGACCGAAAATCAGTGAGTCTTCATAATTTACTATCACTGGGTTTGTATTTATTTTTCGTGAGAAGATAGTTGATCAAAAATTTGGGTAAATTTTGGTCCAGAAGGTATATCTGAATTTTTCGTATCTTGCGAAGCGAAACACGTCGCGTCCTATATCCACCAGCATTTTTTTCTTCTACTTGTTGCGGCTAAAAATTCAGTATTGTATACGGCTTATTTTTGAATAAATAGTGTTGAAAGTGGACCATTATTTGCTGTTGATCTGAAACGGTGCATCGCTTGTTCACCCTTACGGAAAAATGTATGAGTATACCAATTGATGGGTTGCTCAAATGTTCGACTGTTGTTTGAAGCTTGTTTGCCACGCATTGCTGGAAAAGTTTTGTATGCATTTTTTTTGTTTTGTGAACTATTTGAAGTTTTGATCGCGATAGGAATGCTTGGAGATAATTTTGGTAACTCAAACATGTCAAAGTTTTTCATCCGGATTTCATATCTCGGCGTTTAATGTTTCATTCGGTGCGCTAAATTTAGTACCCGTGTCTGCATTTTGAGAATTCGTCACAGGAGGCTACTATGAGATTGTCAAAGTGCGCTTCGAAAATTTTCCTCATTCCTTTGCCGCAGCTTTTGTTGTTTTATTTGTAGAAATTTTCAAAAGAAATTCTGTCTTCAAGAAAAAATAATTTCAAATCATTTGTCAGTATTTAAAAGTCGCCTCACTATCATATATACGCGTTGAATTTCCTCTGAAACAAAAGGACTTTCAATTGCTGATGAGGTCCTCGGAAAGAAAAAAAAACTGGATTTGATTTTTTCAATTTTTGGTGTAGAAAGTTGCGAATCTTCATATAATGGAGTACTCAGGAGCTGATCGACTGTTCAGTATTAAGATAACTCCTGGGTTGCATATTCCGAAATTATATGAGCAAGTGAGTTTCCTAAGTTTTTATTGGAATCTGTGATGCATCGATGTTCGAATTCACTTGGAAAATCGCGCAGCTGAGGCTTGATGTTTCATAATATTCTCACTTGATGATTAATATGTGCATTTTTTCAACGCATCTAAATTCAGAGTTTTTAAATCAACGTTTCGATTGTTCTGTCTCTGCATGTAAAACCATGTCTTTCTTTTTTTTTTCAAGGTGAAAAAAGTGCTAAAATTTTCGTGAACAGGCGTTTGGTCGCAGTAGAAGACTCAGTCTTCAATTGCTAGCATGCATCCACCAGGTAAAGCAATGATTTTTTTAGTTGTGTGAATGAGTGAGTGCAATAATTGCTTTCTTTTCCAGACTTCAGCTTCACTTCTGGCTCCCCGGAAACCTGCGTCGTTTGTGGAGACGACACCAACGACTTCTTCTCCACAACAAAAGTAATCTCCAAGGGAACAGTGCGCGAACGGCTTCTTCATTACGCCGTTTGCGACCGAGGAACTTTGGCTGGAGGATCCACGTTTGTGTGTAGTGATTGTCTCGGCATCTTGACGCATTGTGACATGAGTTGTGCTGTGATGGATGGACTCGTGGAAATCCTTTGCGCCCGGCGTGGAAAGTGTCAGTTGAGACCATTTGCGACGCATCCAGCTCTTCGGCAAAGCCTCGGTGTTATGGAGCCACTCCTGAATCAGTCTTGTGAGTACACTACTTCTTTTATATTGTTGGCTTGAATTCCCTTTGATAAACTGTGATGAGTCTCAGAAAAATGTATAAACTCCCGGAATTTTCAACAGATCAGTTTCTGATTTTTTTGGGCTCGAGTTCGTTACCCAAGAACGGGACCAGTCCTATCAAGAACATTTTCAGAAAAGCCCGAGGTCTTATTTCACTTCGTGCGCGATGAGCTAAGATACAGTATTTTCATCTCAATTTTACCAAGTACTCAATAAAATTGTAAAGACTGGGAATTTGAAAGAGTAGCATTTAGCTAGAGCCCCTCATTTTTGTGCATAAAATTCAAAACTTGTGAACCAAATTTCTCCAGCAATTGAGTCAAGATTTTAACTAGGTTGGCACGCCACTCAGAACAGCGTATTTGCAGTACAAACAATATTTTCAATGGGGACTGGAGATTCTTTTTTTTTTAATACACTACGAGATCTGTATGAAAAGTGGGCTAGTGTATACAGTATTTCATGAGTAGATGTACAATAGTGCGTATCATAATGAAACCTGCTTAATTTTGCGCTTCGATTTGAGACGCGATAGAAATAATTATCCCCTCCTATGGTGATGAGAGTTGAAGTTAATTCCTATAATAGGCAAGTATGGGAATTTGTACTGTTTCCATTTTTTTCTCTTGATCTTTAATGTGAATTACTGATGCAATGTGGAATAGAAGAAGAGATTAGCTATCAAGGAACTATATATTTTCTTTAGCGAAGTATCATTATTTTCTCTAGGTGTGGCCAGCGTTACTGCTGGGTTCATTTTCATAACAAAGCAAAAAACATGAATGACGCGATGTCCATTTTCCATCTACGAAGGCGTTCTGTAACATCCATAATTCTATTTTGGGGAACTTCTGGTCTCAGTTTCAGAAATTTCAATGTACTCCGGTTTCTTTTTTTTTCTAGCAAGTCAACGCAACTACCTCAATCAGGATTCCCGGCAGGTTCGTGAAGTCCAAAAAATTGATTTTTTTAACCTCATATTCAGTACGATAATGTGTTGTAATCTACAGCTTGCAAGAAGGACTAGATCTGGTATCCGAGTAACAGGGTGTAGAACTGGTGATCAGGTTGGGCTATGCAATGGGGTTGTGGAAGATTCAGCGGAATGCTCAAGCAGAAGGGCTGAGGATAACGTTAAAATCGAAGTGATGGATGATTTTGGTGACAGCAATCATTGTGATGAAGACGACGAATGCCTCGCACTTGATAGTCGGCCCTTGGGACGCCGTACGTCGCACCCAGTAGCACTCCAGGAAGAAGCTGTCGGGGAAATGCGGTTTATCGCGGGAGGAGTGACGGAAACCCTTCTGAAACACAAAAAAATGTTCTTGAATTGGTGTAGTTTATGTGGGAAAAACTGCGGGTCGCTTGAATCCTTGGCTACACACTGTAGAAAAGAGCACGGACTGAAGATTGACGTGGCAACATCAGAGGTAGTTGAGCGGTACGTTGCAGCAAATGGTGTTTCGGAGGAGTCTAATGCGATATCCGGAAAGTCTTCCAAGAATCTCTCACTTACGGAAGGTTGGTGGATTGATATTAATTTTTTTAATTCACTGATACGGAGCTCATCTGTCCCACTTTTCTTTTACAAATCCTTCAAATCACTACAAACTAGCCTCTGTTTATTTGCTGGGAGATTTTTTACTACAGTATTTGAGTTGCAATGTGGACAACTTCGTGCTTACCAGCTGGATTTTTTGGGATATTCTCATCACTAATCCGTTCAGCCTCAAATCCCCCTCTTCCAATATTTTGGCCTTTCATCCTTTGTTTTTCGGGGACATGAAAAAATTGATTCCGAGTTATTTTATTTTTTAACAAAATTTCACTTTTGAAAATTTTTTGAAACAAATAAGAAACCATAGTTCACCTAATATTAACAAAAAACTAATCTAAAATAACCTAACATAGCCAGATAAAAAATAAGATAACAACTCTAAATGAGAAAAATTAAATACCCAAAACTGAACTAACCAAAAATTGAATAACTAAACCTAAAGTAACCAAAAATTAAATAGCCAAACTTAAGCCAGCAAAAAATAAAAGAAAAACCTAGCCTAAACTAACCACAAATGAAATAACCTAACCAAAACTTAACTAACCACAGATGAAATATCTAAATTCAAGGAAACTAACTAAAAGTAAATCAACCAACTTTTAACAATTGTATCCTTTGACAAACGATTAAACTTTTTGGTTTTGCTTTAACCACGAGATGGTTGTCCCCGAAAAGCAAATAATGAAATTTCTCCCATAGTGGGGGGGGGGGGTGGACCAGTTTTTTTACTGGAATCCCCTTGCATGTCTTTGAAGGTTGTCTTCTTTCATTTTAAAAGTCATAGAACAAAAATGCTCTGAGAATGGATATTTGTATGTGGTATTCATTTGACATGAAACCAAGACGTTCGTCAGAGCTTATGAATGACCTCTCTTCTTTTTTATTTTTCTTTCAGCCGAGGACGCACAAAACAGGTGCATTTGTCGTGTTTGTGGATTGCGATTCAAGAGTTATAGAGGTGTCGCAGTACACTTGAGGTTCGCGCATTCATTGTCATTTAATGACCTTGCAATGAAAGAAGAATCAAGTAGCTTAAATGTTCAGAATGATACTCTTGGGAGAAAATCTCTCCGATGTCCTTCGTGCCAACGCTCATTTCGAACCATGAAGGGACTGAGGATGCATCGAGTCCATTCAGTCAACTGCGACTCTCCGTTCAATAGAAAGCAGTCACCTGCAATACACTGTCCGAGGTGCAAAAAGAACTTCACTTCACCGAAGCTTCTGCGAATTCATGTCAAAAATTGTGACCGCTCGCGAGGATGGCTGGAGGGAAAGAAAAAGACCGCCTCGAAGTGTGATATTTGTGGGAAGCTCCTTTATACGGACGCTTTGATCAAGTTCCATCGATGTCATCATTTCAAGACCGGAAAACTCAAAAATAATGTGTTGAAGCTTAGCATCAAGGTTAGTTGTCCTGATTTATTATCTTCAATATCTTCTACTGCATTATTGCCGAATAAAAATACTGTTACTATATCAACGTAATCTGACCGAATGAAACATTATATTAATCCCAAACCAATCGTTATATAATATTGGCGAATAAAGCCATGGAATCTGGCCCATAGGGTGTAGAAAAGAACAAAATTTTTCATTTTCAAAAAGGGGGCGTTTTGACTTGCTCTATAGCTTTTTTTTTCCCGTTTAGCCGCTTGATAGGTGCGATGAACTTGCAGGAAGCCTGTCTTCAATGAACAAGCCGGAAAGCAAATCGGAAATGTTGGAAAAAGGAAAGGAAAATACTGAAGGGTATAGTGTTTCTGAATCTTACCTCGACGAGAACCAAGATTCTGAAACTCTGAACGCCGCTGAATCTTGCGAATCTACTTCAAAAAGTGTTCTGTCCGGAGAGGCCGAATTCGAATGTCATCTGTGCAATCGGATAGTTACCGAAAGTACGTTTGAGGACCATTTTCTCGACTGTTGCAAGCCCGCGGACTCGGCCAGATTTCCCTGTCGGCTGTGCCAGCTCAGTTTTGAGACAAGGTACGACGCTTCATTATTTTTCAATGTACAATAGAACAGTCGAACTTCTGGGGACCAGCGAAACCATTTGAGTTAGGGAGGGTTCGAGTTAACAAACAACATTTTTTTGGGGACAGGGAGAAAGAAGAATTACAGAAAATTGTAACTGGTAATATTCTTGTGTTCGAATTGCTTCTTGAATGATTTGACGAAATGCTGTACTTGAAGGCGAGGGTCCATGTGCCCCATCAGTCTTTCACCTCCTTACGAACCATGAATTCAAACACATGAAGTTAAATGTGTATTTATTTTCTCTTTCTTGAGTCAATAAGAAAATAGACAAAAGGCCGCGAGAAAATTCGAGTTATGGACGTTTGAGGGGGAAAGGTCTTTAAACCATTGTTTCTAAGGGAATCCGGAGAGGGACATTTGATAAAATTCGACATAGAGAGGTATTCAACTTATGGACATCAGCATTTTTGAGGTTCAACTTTTTACTGAATTAATATGTTTAATAATTCAATACAAATTAAGTCGAATCTATGCTGAGCTGAATGTATGAAAAGATTTCCTAGCATTGTACCACAGCTCTTTTGACAAATTTGTGGTACTTTAATAAAAAATCCATTAAATTTCCAAAGGTGTCTAAATGGTGCAATTCCTGCAGTATAAATACATTGGTTGATGCATCACCAGAGCCCCTTTTCTTCTTATTCCCAGCATTCCACATCTACAGAAATGAACTTTAAAAAGATTTGGAACTATTAAAATTCAATGAAAATCAACTTTTTTAACCCAAGAGGACTGAGATAAACTGTTAACCTTGTGTGATTTCTCATCAAAGATTCTCTCCAAATTATTTATACAACTAAACCTTATGTGGGAACAGGCTGAAGACCTTGTATTTTAAATTGGGTTGCAATTCTTATTACTTATATCTTGTTTTTGTCATCAGTGAAGGAAGGGGGTGCAGGCATTCACACCAGTTGTGTGGATGTACATATAGTGGGATGCATTTTCTTTTCTTTTGGTATCCACATACAACTTACTTCTCTGTTTTCCATTCTTAAGTGATGGAATGCCTTGGGATGGATTTGGGTTGGGATGGAAATGGGTTTTGGATGTGGGAATGACATGTTGTGTGAACCTTGAATGCTGAAAAGCAAAAAATGAAGCTTCCTGTTCAATTCAAAAAAGCATTGCACAGTTCTACAATGAAGACATTTTCATTCGTAATATGCTTCAATTTACAGGGTTGTTCCATTCCTGCTTAGGTTTTTATCTTGATCAAATTCCATTGTGAATTCAGTATTATGTTGAACTGGAATATTTGTATCTCTGAACAGTAATGAATAAATCCCAAGGTTGTTTCGAGTTGAAGAATGCAGATCCCCTTTGTACAAATTAAAGCAAGCGGTAGTCATATAATATATGTATATTTTTTATTGAAGAGAGCTTCGGAGATCGCATGTAGAAGAACAATGCGTAGAAGAGGCCTGTTCTTGCTGTGGTCACGGTGCTTCCAAAGTTGACCGAGGATGCGACAGAAAATGTTCCATTTGTGATGAAATAGTCCCGCATTTGGAGGAGCACTTGAAGTGGGAACACAGCGTTGGTGTTTGTTCCGAGTGTCGACTCGAGTTCTCCACCATCGAGTGCGGGAAACGACATGCCTGGTCCTGTTCTGGTGTCAAGAAATCTGGCGATTCCGAGGAGCTCGTGAAATTGCCTTGCTCAAATGTTATTGCCGATTCTTCCGAGATGGAAGTTGATACAGCTGCGATCACTTGTAACGTCGGTGGGGACGAGCTAGTGGACGCCTCTTCGCAAACGCTTTGAAAAAATTTCCAATTTTTGTATTTCGATGTAATTCAGTTCATTTTTGTTTACTTCACGATAAAATCTAGTATTTCTCAACATTATATTATGTGTTCGTTTTTTTTTTATATTTTCTTTTTTGTCCAAAGTCGAAGAGGTTCTTTTTAGCCATTTTTTTTTTCATAGACCGGTTGAAAAGGCCTTTTATTACTCCTGCGTAGTCGTCGAAAAATGCATTCAGTTGACCTGTGGTCTGTTGTTTTTCTCCCCATAGTAAAAACCACTGATGAATGATTAAGTGTGTCGAATTTGGTTCCTTGTGTTTTGTGTAATGGCATTTGAACACTGCCTCAAGTTCTGAATAACTACCGGATGAATTGTATAGCAAATTTTTATCATTCTTCCGTATTTATTTCATTTATAAGACAGGAGCAAAATACTGCGTTTTAAATGTATAAATATGCGAAAGTGTCGACTCGGATAAGTTCTGATCGTATTCCGTATAAAATGATTCTTTATAATGAGGGAATTCAAAAGATTGATCTGTTTGACTGTGCCCTGTAGCTTTTCTATTATTTTTTGTGAAAAAATAATTATGAATGACATCCGGTATGTTCTAATTTCCACGCATTTATTTTCGTTTCAGGTATATGTGAGGACGTGATTTTCGTTTGGTGTAGTTGTTCCACGTGTGATTGTGTATAAGCAGTGCACTTCCAAAGGTGGGGTTTTATTTGCATTTTGAGTGAATTTTCGAATTTTTTTTCAAGCATTGATGGCAAAAATTGAAATTTTAAAACGAGACATTCCATCTGAATTATAATTTCGCCATTCCGAAATTCTAGGGATTTCTAGAAAAATGATTTGGTGTTCGCAATATTTTGAAATGGTTCGTTTTTTTCTCAATGAAAACATCTTTTTTCGAGTGCCATAATGGCAATGCCTAAAGTTTAAATATTACTGCATTTGTTCGAAGGTCTGTGTGAATTGGATTTAATTTATTTTTACGTATTGCTCATTCCATGTGTTTCCGTGTTTATTGTGAATGAAACTAAACAAAGAATGTTTTTGCATTCTTTTTTCTTTGCAGATGAATCCAGCAATATTTCTTTGCTCGGGTATTTCGCCTTTTGTTTCCATATAACTGTGCATTATAGAATCTCAGATTTCAACTAACACTGCCAAACATGGCTCCTGCTGGTGAGTACCCTGCTCTGTTTTTTTTTCAAGAAATATTAATTTTAGCAAATATTCAGGATTGTCTGAACCTGAAGTTGCTGAAAGAATTGAAGAATAACGTATTTGTGCCCAAAAAAAATTTTTTTTTTATATCGCATAACTTTTTTTCACGCTTTTCTAAACTGAAAAATTTTCAACCAAAATTTTCACCAAAGGAATAATACGAAACGAAAGCGATTTTCTATTTTGTCCCGCGCATATTTTCGTAAATGATTTAGAAACTTGATCGTATTTGAAATTTAGAAAACTTTTTGCCGTGCAGTATTGTCACTGAATGGTGCACGAATTAATATCGAGATTTCTTGCTGATTTCAGGTCGAAGGAGAAGACGTCCAGTGCCCACTTTGAAAGCAACTGCCCGTGTGATGACTGACGCGGCCCCAGAGTCGCCAGATTTCCCATCGTGCACAACCCCCGACGTCCTCGACAAGCCGTCCTTCGTGATCATACTAGAAGACGACGATCGTAGCAAAGACAGCAGCCACGACGTCATCCCGGTTTCCGATCATCTGCCGCCTTGTCCCACAGTTGAAGCAGTTGCTGCTGCATTGTGCACGACTCCCACGAAAGCCCGTCGCGATGGTGTGGATTCGGAAGGATCTCCGCCAAAGATCCGCACTCGTGCGAGTGGCTCTGTTCGGAAAATCACGGAGTTCTACAAACCGGCTCCCGGTGGAGATGATGTTGGCGGCGGCGGTGATGGTGGTGCGGATTCCACGGAGAATCGGTTGCCGTCGGAGGTGGTTGCCTCGAGTCCTTCCCGCGACGCCGAAGGCAAGGAGAATGTCGATAGCCCGGCTGTGGTTTTTGCGTCCCCGAAGAGTGCCGTGCGGGAGCTCAACTGGGAACAGTATGCGCTTATTTTTCCTCATGAATTGAAAATAAAAATACTGCATTATTCTATTTTAACAGCATCACTGAAGTGCATGCAAGATTCCTGAATATTCTGCGCATTTTGGCGAAGTCGTCCCCTTTTTGCTTTTGAAATTAGAATTTTTTGCTGTGCAACTGGTTGAAACTCTTGACCGACATTAACCGATTAACATGAAATTGTCCACTTTCCAGTCTCATTTCTTACCGCAAAAAATTTGAGTTATGTGCGATAAAAGTTGAAAACAAGCAAGAAACACATTAAAAAAATCCGTAGACAGTTTCACAAAAACAACGTTAATTTAAGCTTGCCAAATTGGATATACAGTACTTTTCTGGAAAACATGGATTCGTTTCACGAGTCATTGTTTTCAGGTTGATACGCTTAATGTGTGAAGATTCCCTGTAAAAACAAAATTCTATGCGACAAGATTTAAATTTTTAAACGCTCGTCATTACAGATTTTCAGTATTTTGTGAAATGAGTGGAAAGTGGGCAGTTGCCAGCAATTTTTTTTATTTTCATGGGTATATTCAATTTTTTGAACCAATTACAGTAGTGTAAAATTATTCTTGAAGGCAAATGCAAATTGGTAAACAAACTTTGCTCAGGAGCAGATTAAGTTCATAAACCAAGACCCCACTCTACTTATAAGCCGACTCTGATACAAACCTTCTTACCGGCAGAAGCTTTTTGTCTAAAATTCGCTGTTGTAAATCCTGACAATTTTTTTATTCGCTTTGGTAATTGAAAGAATCCGTTTCAATTCGTAGGCAAGAGACGGATCCGAAACCCACCCCGCCTCACAGAATCCAAAGCCCGTTGAAGCTCGAGGCTGTGGCCCAAGTCCGTGTGCCAGTGATGCGCGTGCCGGCCAATGCGCTTACGAAGCTGGTCATTTCGCGAACCGAGGTGACCGAGGCTGAAAAGAAACCCATGGGACGCCCAAAGAAGGTGACTGCTGTTAAACAGGGTGCCGTGGCGAAGCAACCCACGTTGGAGGACTTTTTTCCGCCGGTGCGGAGATCGTCGCGGAAGACCCAAGCCGCCATTGCCAAAGAGACCCACTGGCAGATTATTCAGGCATTGCGGAGTGGAACTGATGATTCACTGGAGGTCCGTTTTTAATTTTCCATTTTTTTTTTCGTTGGACTGATGTACTGTATATGTATTCTGAACGGGAAGGGGCAGTCGATCGGTACTCGATAAGATTTCGTCGATGTGCCTTTTTAATTTATTATTTTGTTCGGATCAATCTCTTCAAAATTTCGTGAGCAGTTTCTTTAGTAATTCTTTATTTACTCGAATACCACGTGCCGTCGAGTAAGACGCGCGTACCTGATTTTTAGCGAAGAATTCGGAAAATTGTTATCCCCGCAAAAGACACACTTCATAGTTTTCAGTTGCCAAATTTTCCATTTGAAAATCTGTACTGTAGTGGGTAAAAATCTAAATTCAAATCCACCTGAATATTTAACTGATCGATGATAGTTTTGTTTCACACAAATACGGTAATACCGTGATAATATTAAAACGGAGAAGTCGAAATAAATTTGAAGTGGGATAAAAGTTTAAATTTTCAACTACAAAAAATTTACTTGAAAAATCTGACGTACATCTCATTTTTGCTTAACTTTTTTTGTAAAGAAAAAGATGCGCGTGGTACTCGAGTTAATACAATATTAATTATCGCGAATTAACTCCTGTTTATTAGAAGTGGAGGCAAAATGGCAGATTGATTCGATTTTACGTAATCTTGTGGTAAGAATTCTAATGAAGGATGGTGTTTCTGTTTAAGCGTTAACAAATTTCCTCTTGTGCTTCCTGCGTGTTTTGATTTGAATCATTTGAATTTTGCAGAAGCGTATTTTTCCCGGTAAGGGGCGTGGAGTAGTTGCCGTGAGGAACTTCGCAAAAGGCGAATTTGTGGTTGAATACAGCGGAGATCTGATCGATATTAAACAAGCGGAGCAACGTGAAGCACAATACGCGAGGGATAAAAACGCCGGATGCTACATGTATTATTTTGAGCACCAAAACCGACAGTACTGGTGAGTTTTTGTTTACGAAATCTCTGCACTAGCGTCCCAAGACACCAATCTTCGGTCGAAAATGTTTCAATTTGATCACTTTTCGTACAGATTTTATTTTTTTGAGGTGGATTTGTGCTGAATTCTTCAATGAATTGGAGCTGAAATTCCTTCATAACTGCATCGTCGTAATTAAGCATACCATGCCCTCGAATGTGTTACAGGCAGTTGAATTGGCAAGCAATATTTTTTCTTTGCTCTGTGTGATATTTCAGGGTTGTATGAAGTCTAGCTTTCAAAAATGTCCTTTCAAGTATATGATGACATGAGAGAGAAAGCTAATGGTTCTGGTGATATAAAAAGCAAGTTTTTCTCTCCCAGTTCCGCGCCCGTTCGGCAGAAAATACCTTAAGCTAAAATGTATACCCGGTTTGATTGATTTTCCTGTGAATAAATTCACACAAGAGACTTTCAGATCTGGTTTTTATTAGTCTTTCAGTGCTTCCTGGCTTTTCACTCGTATTCGTAAAAATGTTCTTAACTGACACCCGTTGTTGAGGAAATTCCAGAGCTGCTAGAAACGTGCGGAACTTTTGTTTTGTTTTTTGATTTAGTGTTGATGCTACTCAAGAATCCGGGAGACTGGGGAGATTAATCAATCACAGCAAGAGCCAGGCTAATCTGTCAACGAAAACAATCATGGTGGACGGAAAGCCGAGGTTAGCTCTGTTTGCAACCCGCGACATTGGAAAATCCGAAGAACTTTTGTACGATTACGGCGACCGCAGCAAAGAGTCGCTCGCTAACCATCCGTGGCTGGCCTTCTGAAGAAAAAAAAGAAGAAATGCCCGCGTGTCTTACTGGCAATGATCTCTATTTTTTTTTTTTTTTTTTTTTGTGAATGAATGCGGTTTTTTATTAATTGTAGGCAGCAGACTTCGACCAAAAAGGCTAACTTCCCGCGTTCGTTTCCCAATGATCTCCCGCGATTGGTTTTTTTTTTTTTTTCAAGTGCACGTGAGTTGTATTTAGGCGAGGGTTCGGTTCTCTCATTTTTTTGTTTGTTTCGTGGCTCTGTCCATGACGTGTTTTTACGCATCTTATTGTTGTAAGATTTTTTTGCGTGTAAGTTAACCTGGATATTTTGTATTTCCTTGACGATACTCGCGTTTCGAGAGACTTTCAACGATTCTGAGCATTTTTTTTTTGTGGGCCGCGGGTCGGCAGGTTGCGGTTGGATTCGTCTTCCGCGTCGAGATTTCTCGGGTCGTTGACGATTTTCTGTGAGATCTGACGCTTTTTTTCCCTGCTGGGGAACATTGAGTATCGCTGGCTCTGTTATTGGACTATTGTAAGAAACAACTCTTCAGTTTCACGCCTTGTTTAGTCGTGCTTGATTTGTAATTTGGTTCTCTTCTTATTTTGCGATCCTTGTCCGACCGAATTTTCTTTCTTTTCGATTTACTGCTGAAGTCTGTTTCAATCATTCGTAACTTGTATTATAGTGAAGACAAAGGATTTTTTTATGTTACCTTGCTTGCTGAAACGTCCAGCTGGTGTCGCCTGAATTCCAAAGCTGATTGAATTTAGACCTGAATTATACGAAATGAGAACCATCACCTACGCGATGGCCAATGAATAAAAGTGAGGGGACGTTGCACTTGAAGTGACAATAAGCTTAGAGTAAGCTGTAAGTCTGATCATTGTTATAGTTCGTGTTATTTCTATTTTTAGAAGTTGATAATTTTACGTACAATACTCTCGTTGTTACAGTCGTTCAGTTTTAATAAAGAGAAAATTCGGTCGGAAACGTCGCGTGATTTTTTAGAAGATTTAGAATAATTGCTGCCAGTATTTCCATTGAATTGCAGTGGCAATGATTGACACCGATGAAAGTGATTTTGATGAAGATGTCTTCGGGCTCAGTGATGGCGATGAAGAGGAAGAAGACAAGTTCGTTCCCCCAGAGCCTGAAGAGAAGAAAGCACCGTCGAAGAATATCTTGAAATTCAGGAAAGCACTCGGTTGGTTTAGAAGTTCATGTTCCTCGAATTTCCTTGTGGATTTATATTTTATTTTATTTTGTCTATCCAAGTTTGAAATTCATATACTGTACTGTATTTACCCGAGATTCTTTATATGCTTCGGTTGATTCCATTTTGATTGTCATTGTATGATTTACAGAATTCTACAAAATCAAGGAAATCGATAGTAATTATAACTGTTAATCAGGGGAAAATTATTAAAAGCATTTGCGGATTTCTTGTATCAGTAATGAGATGAATAAAATTACACAATATCAATGACGTTGACGCGTTATCAGATTGAAGTTTCAGCAAATTTGGTGAAATCGTCACATTTTCAGGTGAGAATTGGTCACCTCTTTTTTACAAATGAAGTTCAATAAATTTTTGCTGTAATGTTGCGTTCTTCTCGTTCACTCCTGATAAAACTTGGTTTCAAAATCGGTCTTTTCAGTTGACCTTGAAAAACATTTCAAATAATGCTTAGTACTGTGAATCATATTTCGAAAAGTTACAACCCAAAATATGTGATGTTCTGTTCGTAGGTTTGGACGACGCCAAAGCTAAAGGCGAAGAAGCATTGCCGGTTGTCAATCGAATCGAGACTATAGCCTCAAGAATGAAGCGAGATCTTCCACCTCCGGAAGTTGTGATATTTAGTGAAAAGCGCCACACAGTCGACTCAGCTTCTCGGAGACGCAAGCGGAAAGATGAGACGAACATCGAGGAAAAAACGGATGTTTCCTCGGATTTGAGGAAGATGAAGAACGATGTTTACAGGTGAGTTTTAAATCTCCTTGGAATGTTGAGGCTTTTCTGAATTCTGTCCGAAAATAGACCGCAGTCGGGTTCTATGCCACTCCGAAAATCAGCAGTACAGTATTTGTTTGTACCTGAAATTTGCTTCTGAAATTCCGGGGCTAGCTGTAACTTTGTACTTTTCATGTGTTTCCTTGCCATTTAAGTGTAATTCCGATGGAAGTCGAATTCCGTTGTGGGAATGTCGGAAGTTGGGCCCCAGATATGCGGACATCCGCATGCCGGATCACGTTTTCCTCATAGACTTCAATGGAAACATATTTTCTGCTTTCTACTGTTTATCAAAATTAGGAAAAAATTCTCCCAAAAAAATTAAAAAAAAAAAAAAAAATTTTTAACTTTGGAAGCCGAACATTGGTCAGAAGAAAGCCGCATAGAATCTGATAATTTGGCATGCAGATGCCCAAAAGCAAGTAACGAGAGCACTTCTTGCTATACTGGGCACAGTGATGGGGGAAAAACGAGTACAAAATTAGCTTGTCTTAGACAAGTACTTGGAGTAAATTTAGAATAACATTTATTTTCCATTTTTGTGAAGATGATATTGTTTGAAAGATGTCAAAAATGAAAATTTTCCGTTTTTGTAGGAATTTTGGCAATGACAGTATCTCAAAAAATTGTCCGCATGTTGTTGGGACAGATTTTTTAAATTGCTTGAGTCCCTGAGTCAAATTGTCCATGTGTGGGGGTGTGTCCGTATGTTGGGGTCCTAATACAAGAAGATGAAGAATAATACAGTAGTGTGATATTGTTGAGTTTGCTTTGAGTTGCTGCAGGAAGGCCGGTTAGCTCAGCTGGTTAGAGCGTGGTGCTAATAACGCCAAGGTCATGGGTTCGATCCCCTTACTGGCCAGTATTTTTCTCGGGTTTTCTTCGTTTCTTGCGCAACATGCGTCGCCTTTGAGGCGTTCCTCGTTGTTTTTCGTTCTTTATTAGGTTACTTTTATTAAATTAATATGAATAATGCCCTTTTCGTTTTTTTTCAATTACTGTACTTGCGGAATTTTGAAAAGCGATCAATGTGGTATTTTGGGGTGCATCTAGCGCCTTTTTTTTTTTTTCGAAAAAAGTGACCAGTTATTGACTGAATCATTTGCCCCGTGTTTTAGGTTTGGTATCAAAGGTTTTGAAAAGAGCAAGCAGGAATCGGCGATGGAAGACTTGCTCTGCAGTTTGGGGGCGAGAAAGAAACGTGATGAATGTATCAACTACAAAATTTTAAAAGAACAGCGGCGAAAAGAGAAAGAAGCAGCGCTACGAGCCAAAGCCGAGGGTTCTCATTATAGTTCTGCCCTGGTCCTGCGTGTTGTTGGCAAAAGCAAGAAGAAGCTTTCTAAAGCTCAGAAAAAGGATCGAAATAAGGTTTCTGGCTTCGATGTGCAACCTGGCAAATATCGCGGTGGTGTTCAGTACATTCGACCCGCGGAACTGAAAAAGCTCAAATAAACATCGTTTTGCTTCCATCACATTTACGACCTCAGTTAATTTCAGTAGGCTTTTCTTTTTTAATCCCTTGACATTTAAAATTCATGGTGAAATTTTGTGTTTCCCCGAGAAGATGAGCTTGTCAAACAATAAGCTTTTGCACTTGTATATCCAAGGTCTGCTGCAGAATATTTCTGCGCTTTCTATATTAAGTGTGGTAAAGGTTAAATTAAATCGTTTTGAATGGTGCGATTATATCGTGATGATGAATGCTAAAGCATCACTGTATCCGATTATATCATTTTAAATGTATTATAAATATAAATACTTGTAATTACATTTGGTTATGGTCGAAATATCCGCATTTAACCAGTTCCTTTAAGAAATAAAACTCAACTTTTCGCCATGCATGCTTCATATAGATTTTCAGTTTTTTTTTCACGTCGATCAAAATCTTCATCTATGTTTCATTCACGCAATCAAACTTGTTAATCCGCAGTATAAGCGATTACAGTATAATTAAACTTGTTACTTCTTCCTTAAATGAACGCAAAGCTACCACCTTTTTTCATTTAAAATATGTCAGGATATCTAGATTTCACGAATCTTTTGCCTCAGTTGCATTTTTCAACAGGACTTCGCGAAAGTTTCTCAGCGGCTGTCGTGATGGTGACGAGAAATGTTTTTCGGTTTCTATAGGTTCTGCACTTCTGCGGTTTTTTTTTCTTCTTTTTGTTTTTACCTGCGGAAGTTCCAACGCGGTGGTCATGGTGATGTGAGAACTGTTGGAATTTCGAAGGCATGAGTCGATACTCCCTCGTTTTCACCCCGGCGATTGCATTCATATCACGTGAAGTGTATTGTTTGGAAGTGTTGTTCGATAAGGAAACCCGTGACGTAGATGGAAAAATGCTTTGCCGACGTCATTTTCACTCGGATGCCTGATAACTAGTCTGATTTCGGGGGATAACGTTTTTAAAGGTACGAAGCACGATTTCGTGAGAAGTTGAGAACCCTTTGCTTGTGTTCGTGGAACAAGTGATTTCTTTTGGTTTGCAATGGAGGGGGGAAAATCAAGCTCTTTGTGAAAATGTTGACAAATCTTGTGATTCCCGTTTTTCATTTATCCCTACGCCGCGGTTTTATTTCCTTCTCAAGAATTTCAAATTTTCCGCGTCCTGGATTTTTTCTGGAGTGTCCGTCCGAAATGAGGGAGCGGCCGATTTTCCCGTAAATAACGAATAAGAGGCTATGTGGATTCAGAAAATCCAAACTTTGAGTCCCTTGAAAGAGTTTGATTTCTAAACTAAGACTAATCAAAAACCCTCATTGCACAATACGTCTATTAGTTGGACCATTTTTCTAATACGTTGTGTTATATGCAATGAAGGATCACTTCAATCGCTTTAGAAGTTAAAGTATCTTCGCGAATAATATTTTTGAGGAAAATGATTATGTTGAAGTTTGTCCAACTTTTCCACAGATTTGTCAGTCTTTCGCGTTCGTAGCTAAGAAACATCCTGATTTATTTTTAATCGAATTTTGAATAAGTGCGCCTCGTGCTGTTTCCGCGGCGATACAGTACTTTACTATGTTTTGTTTCAAGTGTGAATTAGTCTTGACCTTTCCTCAGATGCGGAAGGTCATTCCGTAAAATTCTGTCGAAGATTATAATGTTCAAATTTATTTGCTGTGTAAAGAATCTGCTGATATAGTGGATCGCTTAGTTAATTCCTTTTTAATGAGTACGAAAAGTTGTACATTGAAATGTGTACCCCTGGGGGTGGAGATCGATTTGCCGGATGGTGTGGCTGTCGTTCTGGGAAGAGGAAGAAGGACAAAAATCAAAGATCCGAAATGCTCTCGCATACAATGTAAGTGGGAATTTTACTCTGGTATTTGTGTCCATGTATCGAAGCTTTTCGATCTTCTGTCTTTTTCAGTGGAATTGACTGCCGATTATGAAAAAATGAACGTGTTGGTACGTCAGTTGAGTCCTAATCCGTCCAAGGTGCGAAACAAGAAAGAGTTGCAAAAAGGAGAGGCAGATACGTTGCTGCATTACAGTCTGGTAGAATTTGTGCCGGGACAGGAAAAATTCAGGATTGAATTTGACCCTCCTCCTTCTTTGAAAACTGGTGAGAAATTATGATTTCTCCCTGGTGCGCTTGAATTTTTCACCCACGATTTTTCATTATTTCTCTCAAAATCAAGAATGTTCAAATTCAATCCAAAACTTCATTAAAAGTATTGTACGGTCGAGCCTTTTTAAGTCAGACTGCAAGGGACCAGCAAACATTTTTTTGATTCATGGAGGTTTTGAGTTAGAGGAACAAAAATGTTTGTTGGCAAAAAGAAAAAAGAATCACAGGAAATTGTAATTCTTGATATTTTGGGCCTTGAATTGCTTCTTAAATGAGTTGACAGGATGCTGGAGTTGAAGGCAAGGATTTATGTGTCCTATTCGTCTTTCACTTGCTTTTAAAACAAATTGATACATTTTTATTGCTTTTCTCTTTCCTGTGGTTGTAAAATAATTACCAAAAATCCTCAAGAAAATTCGAGTCCTGAAGGTTTGAGTTTTCTCGGTTCAACTTTAAATTCGTTGAAAAAGTGTTTTTTGACTGGTGCTACCTTTTTGGTCAGTTGAGAACTTTAATAAAATTGCAGCTATCATTCTTTCGCCGAAATAACTTGATGAAATTTTCAGTACAGTACTTGCATATTTTTTCCAAATATTTGATCAAGATGAAAATTGGTTTTGTTTTGATCAGTTGGTTCCCCAATTAAGACAAACAAAGCATCATTGAAGCGAGGAGCACCAACTCAAGCAAAAGTCGATGATGCCAAAAAGCAGAAAGTTGAAGCTTCTGTGGGTTGGTCAAGTCTGGAGAATGACAAACTACTTGCTTGGATGCCTTCGGGAATTGAGCACTCTGAAAAGGTACTTGTCGTCGCTGGAGGATTCGAATGTATTTTTAATTAAATAATTTTTAATGAAAAATGACGCGCAGATAGCCGCGTACGACATGGACGGGACTTTGATCACCACCAAGTCCGGAAAGGTGTTTGCCACGAATAAGGACGATTGGAGAATTATCTACTCGGAGGTCCCAAAGAAGCTGAAGTCGCTCGTTCAGGTTGTTTTGCATTACACCTATCCTAGGGATGAAACCCGGGCCACGTTCTGATGCACATTTTCTGTCACGTTTTCAGGACGGCTTTAAAATTGTCATTATGACGAATCAGTCTGGGGTCAGTGCGGGAAAGGTGACGATCAAAGACTTGAAGTCGAAATTGGAAGCTGTTGTCGCTGGGCTCGGGGTTCCTGTTCAGGTTCTGGCTGCCACTGATACTTCGGTATATCGGAAGCCTAACATCGGGATGTGGGAGTATCTTGAGAAACAGGTACCGGACGAGTACTTTCTGTTGAATAATGGAAACGATGAGGGGCTATATATGAGGTTTTTCAGCATTTTTAGACGATTCCCAAGCGTTTACGTACCATCACTTCGTCAAGTGACGAACGTGTATAGGGACTTCCCTGGTTTTAGGGCAAATATATATACAAATATATGTATTTACAAATATTGTTCATCCTTGAAATGATTCGAGGACGTATTGATTTATTATACCGTACTACATTATATTGAACAAAAAGTCATACTACAGTACTGTACAGTACTTCCATAAATTATTGTTACGTCTAATACCTGTAGTTATTTCTGAAATAATTCCCAGTTCAGTCAGGCATTTAAGCCAAGTCTCCCAACATTTGTTGAAGATCCTCTTCATTTGAATGTTCAACTTGGGCAATTTTCTGTTCACCAGTCGACATATTTTGGCTACGTTCACATTGGGTAACCCTACGACGATATACAGTACACTGCAAGAATGTCCGAGATCGGATAATTTTTTTTTTGGTTAGCGCGTAGCATTTTAAAATGATAGAGTACTGCATACAGGGGTTCTCCAACTTGATTGCGAACTTCGATATTCTTAAAGTAGATGTAACTGTAAAAAAATCTTGACATATCCTACGAGTATAATGTTCTAAGAATCTGTAGTTTTTTTCTGATTTTTAATTGCGTTTTCAATTGACTGCTGCATGATGATAAGTGGAGACTTCCAGTAACAGCCGGAGTTCTCCATCCATGTCAAAAAGTTTTCAAAATTTGGGAGGCTAATTTAAAAATTTCAATTTTTATTCTTCTAACCATTATCTACAATTAAGAAAAGATAATGGGTAAAACAGAAAAATTTCATCATTTCAGCTACAGTACCATAAAAATGCTAAAATATGTATTTGGAAAGTTTTCACTTATCATGTAGTGAATTTTCAAAAAAAATGTATCCGAAAAAATCCCAGAAGTTCAGAACATCATGAGCGATGTCATTTTTTTCAACAATCACACCAACTTTAAAAATATCAAAGGTCCCGTCCAACTGGGACAATCCTCGTATCATACCACTGTCTTATGGTATACTGTAATATTATTTAAATACAGTACTTGGTAGCATGCTGTTGAATAATACAGCTCTGCCTTTTAGTACTGTAGTACAGTATTCAAATAATCTTTTTAGGCGAATGACGGGATTCCAATCGACCGATCGAAGTCCTTCTACTGCGGTGATGCCGCCGGAAGACCAGCGAATTGGCAACCGAAAGCAAAAAAGGATTTCAGCTGCGGAGACCGGCTTTTCGCGGTGAACCTAGGCATTGATTTCTTCACTCCTGAAGAACACTTCCTCTCCTACAAACCATCTCAATTTTCAATCGCGTCCTTCGACGCCAAAGCCTATTCTTCAACGGTTGCGTCCTTGTCCATCACTAATCCGCCGTCTGCCAAAATCGTCACGGAACAAGGGCCAGAAATTGTTATTATGGTTGGTTTTCCGGGATCCGGGAAGAGTACGTTTTGCAAGGATCATCTGCAAAGCGCTGGTTACGAAGTCGCGAATCGGGACACGGTCGGCACTTGGCAAAAGTGTGTCAAAATTTTGCAAGATGCTTTGGGTGCCGGAAAGAGTGTCGTGATTGACAACACGAACGGGGACAAAGCTTCGAGGAAACGCTATCTGGACATTGCGAAAGAGATGAAGATCCCTGCTAGATGTTTTGTCATGGAGACTACCTATGAACACGCCGCTCATAATAACCGAGTGAGTCAATTTTTAATTTCTGAATTTAGTGCGAGAAATAAAATCGTTCTATTTTGTGAAATATATGTTGTTGATTTTAGTTCAGAGAGTTGACTGACCCCTCGCATATGAAGATCAGCTCCATGGTGTTCAACATGTTCAGGTGGGTTTCCAAAACGCTATGAATCGTACAATCAACCAAAAAAAATAATTCTTGTAAAATAATTCTTGTCTGAACGTTTGTGAACGATTTAATCTTGTACAGTGGTTCTTCGGTTGAACCACTTTTTCAGGTTTATTTAACGCTTTCCCGCCTTTGAATAGACAATACACTAAGACATTTACCTGAAATACGACCTCAGTTTATTTTTCGACAGACCAACTTAGTGTCACCCCTTAGAACTGAAAAAAAAATTTGTAATGCAAGCGTTTTCATATACAGTGCCTTTGTGGGTCAAGCTACTTTATGTGGTAGTTGGAATGGACAGCAGTAAAATCGCGAATGGATTCATAGCAATTGTATGAAGTACAGTATAAGACTAATTTAACTTGAAAGAACATTTATTAAACTGAACGTTCTATGCTATTGTTCTGTATAAAAGTATACGATTGTCGTACGTTTTAAGGAGACCTCTCCGTTTTCAACCTTATCCACCTTTTGGTCGATCTTCATCGAAGAGTATCTTGTGTACTGATATAATGAATCAATGCGGCACTGAGCAGCATTTAACATGTCTGCAGATTGTGTGTTGTAATTGGTTTCAATTGATCATCTGTTCCTTTTTTTTTTCGTTAATCTTCCTGCTGAACACTTCGAAGGTCGAAATATGAAGCACCGACTGTAGCTGAGGGATTTTCAGAGATTGTGAAGATCCGGATAAAGCCAAAATTCGATGATGAACAGACGCAAGACTTGTATAATAGATTTCTGTTGGAAAAGTGATAAATTGGTGACATTTTTCGCTGACATTATGCTGTGTCTAATTTTTGCACTTCACCAAATCGTGTATTGTTCTGTACCTGTCTGATAGTTGAACGGTTCCGTGGTTGAATAAAAATGCCATTGCTTCTTTTGTCAAACTTGATTCATTATTTTCACCGGTTTTTTCATCTGTGCGTGACGTTATTCAGCTACTACATGATTACTTGCAAAATTTTGCGACAAATATTCATTTACAGCAGGTAAAGTACTGTGTTAGCCGTATCGCTCGCCGCATGTGAAACTCTGTGATATTCGTTGTCCGAGAACGGTGGGTCAAAGCAATTAAAATATGGCTTCCGCCTTGTGAAGAAATGGAATCTGGGTCAAGCAGAAGTCAATGAAGATTGAGATGGACTCGAAGATTCGTTCGATACTTATGTGATGAGTTATCGTCGTGGTGGAAGAGTGTGATTATCTGCAAGTCCTCATGAATGTTCTGCCTCGTGAGCTCATAAATCCACCTTATTAGTACGGACTAGTTCTTAAGAGACGGTATAGAGTTAGCTGTTAACCCGAAGGATTGGGTGTTGAAAATGATTATGCAGTGATTTTAAGTGCACTTCCAGTCGCATACGTAGTTATGAAACTACTATATTTTTCGAAGGCGTACGTTGTTAAACGAATGTAGCCGTGTGCCACGAGTGCCTTACGATTTAATTGACTTCGCCGTCAGTGTAAAAGCACTTATCCATTATTGTTAATGCTTGGCCGTGATGTGCATTTTACAGGTTTTCCATGATCCTTCCGAAGAGCCAGAATGTGGGAAATTCGGCGCAAGTTTTGTTCGTCTCAAGGCTCCAGGAGCTGACGAAAAGTTGAGCACTTGAGACAGTGCTTTGATACTAGTCATATCGTTCAACCTGGATTCAGTGATTCTCTTCACCTTTGTTAGGTTAGAGTTCACTCAGGTGTATGTATTCGGAATTTCTCCGAGTGAGGCTTCTTGACTTCACTCTTCGGCGTTTTCAGGCACAGAGACGATGGCTACCGTTGCAGATTCGTGGGAAGAAATGGATGATGCTCGCAGAGTGGAAGAAAACCTGCGAAAGCTCAACATTTCCGCGCGGTGAGTTCACGAAACTTTTTAGAGCGATCGAGTGATTCATCTTGACCATAACCCTAGAAAAATGGAACCATCCCAGGGATCCCCGGTTACCGTAGTTGTGCGAGATGATTGTTGCCGTACCCAGTATCGTCCTGACGGGCCACCACAAGTTCGGATACTCAAGCGCACCGATGACAAATCGGGGAGCAGCGGTTCTTCATCACAGCAACGTACTCATAGTTCCTCGAAGCCGAATAAATCCTTCCAGGAGGTACGGGAGTAATATGTACACTACTTCTCGAGTCGTTGCACACTTCAAATTATGTTGAGGTGCTCCATGTGCAATCATATGTAGAGGCAAAGAATAACTTCGTTTGCGAATTGCTATACAGTATATCTACAGTTCAGCGAGATAGACGAAATTTTTGTGCCAGATTTCACAAGACCTTATATATGCTATGGTTAAAGCTCTGTAGCGACACTGAACGTATTTTTTGCTTGAGGATTATCCTGTTGAGGGTTCAACTGAGAGGGATCTTTAGTTCGGAAAATTTTTCGATTATCTCCTCCTCATCAGCAAATGTCATAGGTTTCTTTGTTTTGCCTTTTTCATTCATGGCGTGGTTTTTTTTTCTCTCGAAGCCACAGAATGTAGCGAGATGACGAATCGCATTGGTGAACAAAGGGATGCACTCTTTTTTGTAATGTCTGCATTAATTCAGTGTACAGTATTGCATTGTATAGTGTAATTTGGAAATTAAATGGCATAATTTTCTTTTGCTGAATCGCGTTTTACGCTCTTCGTATTCAAGGCATTAGTTGAAAACTGGTTTGTGGTCGTGGTCGTGATTTATTTTTCCGGAGTTGTAGAAACGTATGATCGACGGACTGTTGTAATCTTGAGGACTTCCTGTCATTTAGCGGCAAGCGGAATATCAGGAAGCTCGATTGAGAATCATGGGACGCATTGAAGAACCGGAACCTGTTATGACAACACCTCCACCGCCGTTGCTGCACACGTCTCAGTCCTCGCCGGCGTTGTTGCCTTATCCCCCGCTGAATGGATTAGTCGGTCCTTATCCATTGCCTCGTGCCAACGGTGAACTTATCAGCGTGAGAGATGGTGCCAGAATTTCCGTGCTTCGTCCGGGTGAAATGTGGCCATCTTCGCCGTTGCAACCCATGGTTCCATTGATGAGAACGCCGCGGGGACCCGACGGGTCTCGGGGCTTCCGATCCTGTAGATAATGGCGGGAACACTGAATCACAGCGGAGTACTATTTTATTTTTTGATACTTTACCTTATCCCCATCTGGAATCGAACAAATGCTCATTTCATGCTCTAGAATATAAAGTGTTTTTTTTTTTGGGTTTGGGTTTTTCGATAAACGGGTTTCTTTGGGTGGGACTGTTGATTTTTTCGTGTGATTGGCTCCCCTTTTTTCTGTTGCTTATTATATTGTAATGTTTTTCTCTTGACTGAAGTTGTGATCGGTGAGGCGATGAGTTAGCGTAGCTATGATCCGAGAGAGCTGCGGGGTAAGCAACCGTTTTGAGTGCGCTCGCGGTGAACTGTGCTTGCCTAAGAACCTCAGGGGTGGATGATTTTGTTGTTGCTGAACTGATCTGGCCTGAGTTTTCGACCATATTAAATCGGAATCCATGACCCGGGGGCATGACGCTTCTCTGTTACTTTCGAATGATTTGCTGTGCCACTTGAATTCATTTCATATTCCAGTACAGTACTTGCTTTTCGTCGATCCGGGCGTCCAAGAAATCGTAATGCTGATGGCGCACTATTTTCAACTTGTTGCATTCTGCAGAGAGATTTTTTTCCTGCTAGACGTGCGAAATGTGGCTATTTCAGAAAGACTTGAACTCAGAGAAACTTACCGCTTTCCTCGATTAACTTTGTCCAAATTGCAGTTCATTGCTTCGTAACAAAGCGGCCTTTATACAGGTTAATTTCAATCAATGTCGCTTCATTTCTTTCGGATTCATGCATCTGGGTCTCTATTTCCTGATTTGGGGAAATGAAGGACATCTTACCATTTTGTGCCATTCTAGAAATTTGATGAAATTGTATACAATTAATGTATTACTGTACATCATTCGAATATCTGTGAGAATGCCCGCCGTGATTAAGCCTGATACACCGTATATATGTATATATGTTTGAAATTTCCCTCAAAAAAGGTGGGAAAGTGAGAAAGAAGAGAAACCGTGTTGACTTCATAACAACTGGTGCTCGGTGCGTGGGAAGGGTGGATAAAAATCTTAGATCGTTTCTGAGCATATCTGTGTGATACTTGCCCTGCTAAGCTGAAGGCCCATATACGGACGGAAATTGTTTTTCTGAATATGCCCCCCCTTTTTTATACTTATACTTGGCCCTTTCCTCGCACAGGCCCTGAACATTTGTGATTGTGAGGATGATGCTAGTTTATTTTCTTACGTCCTTCCTTTTTTTCGCGTGTATAGCAATGTATTATCATATATCCAATAATACGAAATTTTCATGACTTCAGGTTTTGAGTATAACCCTGCAGTTTTTGAGAAGACAGTACCGGATTCGCTACAAAATTATACCCCTTGTGGCAAGTGTATGACCAATTTTTTTTTTTTCATGGTAATCTACGACGAATTATTTGCACCGTACCCCATGAAGCTTAGTCGTTCAATATCTCACGGAATCCGTATTTAATTCTTAAAAGCGGAATAAAATGACCAATTAATCCCTGATATTGTCATGAATTCTTCCGATTCTGTTGTGGCCTCCGCGGTATAATGTAATCTCGATTCGCAGCATGTAAAATCTAGAAGAGAAACAATTCATTGGTTTCAAAAGTTAATTTTGTTTTCGAGGTTCAGGTCGATTGAGTAAAGTTCGGTTGGAAGACTGAATCAACGGCGGATTTTTGAGGAATCTGTTCTGGAAATATCCGGTTGAAAAATTGATTAATAAGAACTTCCGCCATGCTTATTACTGCATGTGCAGTGAGCAGCTTTATGAGGTTGTGATGGGGGTTTTTGTTCATCTAAATTTTTTGCTGAGTCCTTTTGTTATGTTCAGATTTTGTCAGTAAAAATTACGTTCGCTGGTTTTAAAATGTTAATGAATTGTCGGATGCATCAGGCTTCACCCGGTGAAAATTGAGGCATCAGTGTCAAAAATGTATCTCGCAATGATGGATTTTCGCATAGTTGCGAGATTTTCGCCCCTGTCGTGTGGCGACAACAACATGAGATTCTTTTATCCACCTGATGTGTGTTGGTGATGGACATTTTTGGTGGAAAACGTTGCCGCCCAAATTTTTTCGAATTGTTTGCAAGATTTCATCAAAAGTGTTGCTCTTAAAATCAAGTGGCGCAGCATCTTATGAGAAAACAAAAATCGGAAACAAATCATTTTTGTCGGTCGTAGAAATTCAGACTTCGTGATTCTAATATTGGGTATATCCTTGCAGGTGATAGTGTGAATGAGGTGGATACGTGTTTCGTGAGGAAGTGCGCGAGTTTATGTGGGCTTTCTGAATTATTGTGGAGCATTGTGTGATGGCATCGATGCCTCCGGCTGGGGAAAACTTGAAAACTTACAAACTCGTTGTCGTTGGAGATGGTGGCGTCGGGAAAAGCGCCATCACTATCCAATTTTTTCAAAAAATGTTCGTTGTGGACTACGATCCTACAATCCAGGACTCGTACATACAGCACATGGATATCGACGGACAATGGTGCATTCTTGATGGTACGATTTTATTTCAGAACTCTCCCTCCTTGACACCTTCGTGAAAGATTTGGATTATTGCAACGATTTGAGAAAGAAAAATCTTCATATTGCCTGTGTTTCCGTCATGTGTTTTTTTTTTTCAACATTTTTCTGAGAATTCCATTAGTGTGGCCGCGTAAGACCCGATTTACTACTGGTGGACTCTTACTGCAACGAATATCTCTGAATTACGAATTACAGTGCTTTTTTCCATAGGGTGTGTCCCTCAACGAATTTTTTTCTGGCCCCTCGAATTTCTTCGTAGAGAGAGTCAACCTGTATATTCATGCCGAATTTCAAAATTTTAAAGATGAACGACGAAGAGGTTTGAGAGTTTTTTTTTTACTGCAAAATGAGAGCCGCGTATTTTTTTCACTTGGCTTTTTTTGTCTCCCCGGTGTACGATTTTTGCCTTTGAAATGATGTTGAAGATGTAAGATTAATTCAGGATTTTATTGTTCACGCATTTCTGCATCTACCGGCAGTTTTGGATACGGCGGGTCAAGAGGAGTTCAGCGCCATGCGAGAGCAGTACATGAGAACGGGAGATGGTTTCCTCCTCGTGTATTCTGTCACGGACACACAAAGTTTCGAGAGCATCGAAAGTTTCTACACGCAAATTCTACGTGTGAAAGACAAGTAATCGTCGTCGCCCTTTTTTTTTTATTGTCTTGTCCGTTTGTTATTTCGCGACTTCACTTTTATCTCCTACGACAACGAATTTAATGTGCTCAAATATAACCTGACCAATTTCAATTTATGCATGACGCAAATGAGCGTGAAACCTGACTCAATCTGACAGAAATTGAGCCTCCTGACCTATAATTAAACTCAAGACTACACATGAGTTTTGAGGCATGAAGTCGCTTACGCTTGGCGTTCGAGGGCAAAATAGATTAAAAGCAGTTTTGTTCTCCTCCAATCGCTGCTTGAAATCGGGCTCTGCCATTAATTGCGTTTTGAAGAAGAAAAATCATGTTTCTTCCTAGTTAAATTTCACACTCAGCAAGAAATAACCATATTTTCGGTCGATTTCCGTCACGCGGTTCGTTGATGAAAGATTTCCCCGTTTCTTTCTAATTTTTTAAACCAGAGATAAGTACCCGATGTTGCTCGTGGCCAACAAAGTGGACCTGGTGCATTCGCGCAAAGTTACCGAAGAGGAAGGTCGAAAGGTTGCGCAGGATCTTGGCATTACATATCTCGAGACTTCCGCCAAGGATCCGCCACAAAATGTCGACCTTGCCTTCCAAGAAGTGCGTGTTGATCTCCAAAGAATTTTGGAGTTTTTTTTTTCTTTTTGCGTGATTTCTTTAGCGTGTCCTTGTCGAGTTAAAACGAGGAGCTGTGCATTGATTTTGAATTGCAACGTCATTCCAACCTCGTCATTCTGCCGTCAAGGAATTCATCAAATTTCTTCTCTTGCTCCAAGAGTAAATGGCGCTGAAATTTCAGTTGAAAGGACGTCATTTAATGCTCAATACGTTTGGAAAATCTGTCGGCGGTTTTAATTGCAGTATTGCCTAATATTAATTAAACAGCGATGTCTGATAACTTCAGCTCACAAGTGTCTAGAAATACGATTCCATTTTTTTTAATGCTCAAGTTCAACAATGATAAAAAAACCTACATTATTTTATGCTTTCTGAATTGTTTGCTGATTCGTACACATGCGGCTGAAGCTTGTTTCAATACTGCCCAAAATCAGCAGGATGTGATCATGACCTTTTTTTCACTTGGAAGATCAATCGCAACTTCGCTGTAGACGGACATTTGCATGATGAAAACGTTCATGTAACTGAAAAATAATAAAAATTGAATGAGCTGGAAATTGCATTGATAGCTGGGGAAGACTGGCTATTGAAGCACGGTTTCCCTTGGGGATCCACCTGCATTTCCCAGGGGCTCTGCAGGTGCCATGGAAAATGAAAGTAAATTGGAATTAAAATCATCACATGCCTTACATGGATCCATCAAGAGAGACGTTATCGGGAAAAAGTACCATTTCGATAAATTGAGGTGGAGGCTATTCTACTCTCAGACGCTATGAACTTGAAAATACTTTTTTTTTAATCCGAGTGAAATTTGTGGATTTACAATTTTTTATCCTTTTCAGATCGTGCGCATAATTCGAAACGAGCCGCAAAATGACAGCAACTCTCACCATAAACGCGGGAAGAAGAACTGCTCGGTGTGTTAGTTCTGCAGAAGCAGAGACAAAATCGGGAACCAAATGGATAATCCTCTCTTTTTTCCTCTGAGCGATTTTCGAATCGCTCTTTTTTTTTTTACCAAGAATCCCCCTCTTAATTTGATTCTCTTCCGCGTTTGACCTGGTTTCGCAGCGACAATCCGGTAAGAAAGGAAATCAATGTCGTCCACGTGAGCTGATAATTAGACCGGCAAGAGTTTTCCGTGGGAAAAGTTTCCGATGCACAGTCAGCCGGGTAAAAATCAAGTGTGTGAATTTACGCAGGATAAGCTGGTGAAGTTACCTTTTTTTTTTTTGCACTATTCATTCCGTGAAGTGGGGGATATCATTCATCTCATGGCGGAAATTGATTTAGACTGATTTTTATGGTCGTGGGAAACCGGCATTCTTCTGAAGACGTTGATCAAATAATGAATGATACCGTATAACTTTTATTGGTATTCTGATAGTAGGAGAAATTTATTTCTTTCGAAGGATTTCGATGTCACATGCCCAGTTTCAATTTTTTAATGCCCCGCGTTTCTCTGCGATGATTTACCACGAAAATAAGCACCAGCGCAATGTTCAGGATACTCCGTAATTTGACTCATTCGTATAAAACCTTATCAAGATCGCCGATGGTTGCAATTTTTTTTTGTTGATCAAAAATTGTGTTCATGAATGTTTGTTTTTGAAGGCAACCACTGTTTTCAATGGAACAGATTTCTCTGAAGATGATGTCATGATACTCATGAAAAGGTTAGTGAGGGAACGTCGTTTTACAAGGTACAAATTCCATTGAATTTGAAAAACTCCCCATGGGTTGATTTTTATTTTCTAATCCGGGTCATTTAAACTCGTCTTGGGGAAACGCGGTGTAGTACTTGGATTACATGAGATAAATCTTCAATTTGATCAAGTACAGTACCATGATCATATTGCGGAAGTTTCCGCATTGATCACAGGGAAACTTCGTTCGTATTCCAGAAACGAGTCGAGCGTGGACGACATTTTCTCGTGTCTTTGTTTTTTTTCATGATTGAAAGCATTTTTAATTGAAGATTTGCATTTTTGTTTTTGCATCTCGCAAAATACGTTTTTCCTTGGAAGCTAAATGTTTTTTTTTCTCCTCCCCGGAAAAGTAACAATATTGCTCAAAGGCACGTTCCTGTTCCCCAAGAAAAAAGTTCAACTCAGCATCGCACGCTCCCAGAGCTTTGTAGGACCAGAAAAGCGCCTAACAAACAAAAAGAAATACGAAAAAAAAGACGAGGCTTCTAAGCTGGCTTTTTTATACTTGTGTGTGGGGAATTTACGCGGAAAAAACTCAACGAATTTAGGATACTTCTCTCTCTTTTGTACTCCCCAAAAAAAAAACGTGTACCTTAAGAAAAGGATACCTGATGTTGTGAGAAGGAAGAAATCGTATCGGTGTAATTGTTTTTCACGCTTTCTAGGAATTCTGGTCGAATCAGAGTTCTTCGATGACAAAACGGAGGGTTGGTTGGGTTTCGGGTGACTTGAATTTTCCTGCAGATCCCGGAAGGGTTTGAATGCTCTTGCGTGTATTGAGACATTTTTCAATTGCTTGAGGATTTTTTTTTCGTCTAGTCAATTTCCTAAGATGAAACACTGAAGTGGAGTGAATGAAATTTCAAGTGCAGAAAGATGATTGGGTTTCGCATAATCCTTCCATTTTGTCTTGATGTTCTAATTCTAAGGATTTAATATCTAAGAAAATTTTCGAATTCCACTGACGCGGATTTGTATGACTCCGCTTTAATTTTGCGAAGTTCGTTTCATGTAATGCCCAAAAATTGCGTGCTGGGATAGAGCTGGGAGAAAAAAAGTAATCAAATTATGTTTGAACTTCTGAACAGTTTGACAGAAATGCGTGCAAATTAATATATTGTCATTGTTTTTGAAAAACCAAAAAATTTGAAAGCCGAAGATATAACTCCACTTCGGTGTTCCCTCCTGGAAGTGGAAAAGATTCGAAAAAATCCTCTTTTGCTTTTAAAAAAGATCTCATTACGCAGCTAGGGCGCCGTTGGCTTTTCTGCGGGAAAAATTCTGATACCATTTCGAACACGATTATCCTCCGCGAAAAAAGATGTTTATTTCGGTTTGAAAGTTAATTTATTAGATGAATCTTCCTTGTTTGTTATCTGGACTAGAGAAAGCGTGAACAATGATTGCCAAGTAATTCATTGTCCCATGGGTTGTGTTAGTGAGGAAGTCTTAGTGGTTAGAGGTGTTGGTTTCTTGAGTTGAATCGCGGGCGAGGCCCGGGGTAGTTTTATTTTTGCCAATGCGTTTGAAAATTGTGATTCCGACCTGGAGCATGGGTTGAATTCTGGTGGACCTAAAGAAAAAGAAAGAAAAACGAAACAGGGCAGCAACGCAGTCATCGACGTTTTTTTGATCTCGGAAACCGCTTGTGTTCTTTTTACCGCGAAACGTTCACGAAAGAAAGATCGAAGTGTTCAGGTGTGGGGTCTTTTGTGGCCCCGCGGGTTTTTTTTTTTCGCGTGGAAATTTTGAGTTGATTGAAACATGCATCTCAATCTTGTGTTTGCTATTCGGGTTTTTATTGCTTTCATTTTTTTTGTGTGACGATTCAGAATGTTGCAGAAGGAGAGATTAAAGGAGTCGCGACGTTTTTATGCTTGTTGTCCGTTCAATTCGGGATGCTTCTATCAAGTGATGGAAGGTGAAAGGCGTTGGTGTCAGCAGTCACTCGGTGATTCCTTTGATCAGAAAAGATTTGCTGCCTTTCTTGAGAGTTGCCAGTGGAGGATTATTTCTGTCTTCTAAATGCTGCATTTACTTGATTGTTTGTTGTGTTGACTAATTCTATAGCGACAGACCATCGGAGTACAGTATATACTGTAGCTCTATTCAAAATTTCCAGATTCGAATGAAAATCATTTTTGTCTTACACATATGTGTGCAGTATAGTATAGCCTTTTCTGAGGCTTTTGATGATTCGTACTGCTGTATAGTGTAAGTGGCAACTTTTTGGATGATGATTTATTCCATGGTTCCTTCTTTTGATTTGGTTAGTAATGAGAAGCTGTGTTAAAGTTCGAAGGTATTACGAGGAAAGGGGAATTAACAGCAGAACTCGATTCTGTTCATGAATAATTGTGGAGATGAGATATACAGTACTGTATTTACAGTGAACAGTAATTGTTCAAGGTAGGTTGGGTTTTTTAATACGTTACTGTGCAATGCTTCATTTTGCTTTGTTTTTTAAATGCCTTCCTATTTGGTAAGTTTATCTCTCATCAATGGGCCCTTGCTTAAATTCTGAATGATTACTTAACTCTATTCGGTCACTTTTAGTATACGTGTGTTATGTGTCATTTGCAATATACTGTACTACAGTATTAAAATAGCAAATATTAATAGGAAATGAAGACCGGAATGAATAATGTACGGTTCCCCTCAACAGCATATTTATAAGAGACAAGGGCAAGACATATTGGGTTCAAAATGGTCCAACAGGCAGCTCTTTTCTTACAATATAAATTTCTAACTGGAGTACTCATGCATGAAGGTTCGCTTCGCGATAATCTTCAACATATTTTACGATAGTGCATGTATGTACAAAAATCTAGCTTGAACTCGATTAGTATACCTGCAGGACGGGAGATGAACTTTTGCAGTTTTATTATATAAGTGGAGCTAATTCATTGTGTTTCGACAGGGTGACAAACAAGCAAATTAAATTTTGATTCAATGCTCGCCTTGGAAAATGAAAATCGAACTGAGCATAAAACTGTTCTCTAATTGATCAGTTTATAGCACAAATGGATTTCCTTATTGGGTTAAATGGGATGGAAAATTGAATGAGCTTTCTTGAGTTTAATTCAACATTTCCCATGCTTACCAATATAAGAATCATCACAATATAATAATCGTCGAACATGCTGAGGAAATGAGTACTGTATGAACATGCTGTGGTAAACATTAAAAATAATTGGTTAATTCATGATGTATTTCCCTTTCTCATCTCAAGCAGTCTCAAAACGTTGTATTGTTGGACGAAAACCTTTATCAGAAAATCTTAAAATTGTCACACACAAGTTTCTCGTAAGTTTTTTTTTTTTTGCTTTCAGGATATACAGTAGATGCCTTTTGTATTTATTAGCAATAATTTTCAAGTGGAGCAGGAATCCTTAAAAAGCTTTTGGACGCCGCGGATTGAAAATTAAATTTACAGAAACAATTTAAAACTGCTGTCTTGATGCATGTCATTTACAATAAGTACAGTACAGCAGTGTAGTACAGTATATAATTTTTTACTTATTACATAATCAAGGTGACCTCGCCCATTCCTCTGTAAAGCCATCTTGGTACAAAATATCATGCGATTCTTATTTTTTCGTTTCCATTGAAGTCCCAGCAACAACAACAAGGGCATGTCGTGTGTGTGGGAAGTGCACATATGCAGTATACAGACGACCTCTTACGCCTCCAATACGCGCAGCATAGGTTTAGGACCTCTGGCCTGTATAAATATATAGAGGTTACCGTGCGGATGAAATCTCAGCTGATGGCAACACTTACCAATGCCCAGCAAAAGAACAGTCTATACAGCAGCCCTCTTTGCGTATATAGACATGCAGCAGAAGAGAGTGAAGCCGCCACCCAAAACCGGCACCTCCAGCCTACGCCGAGCTATAAAGAAGCATCTCATCGCGCAGAACAGGCTTCACTTTCGCCGCGGTTCCCTCTGTGCTGATGCCCAGTTCACTGGGTGGTGTAGTGTTCAGTGTGCTTTATACTACGGTGGGTGGAGCACCAGCACCTATTTCAACTGTTCACGTTCCTTCGCTTTTGGCCAACGCGTCCAAGGAAAGCAAAATTCATCGACTAGTTCAGCTGATGGTATAAGAGCTAGCGTATGGTATATATGCGCGGTGCTTTTTGAACACGTAGCGCGCGGTGCTTTTTGAACACGTAGCGCGCGGTGCGTGATGTTTTTCTGCTTTCGCGGATGAGTTGTACTTGTACGATATACCTTGGCTGTTTTCGAATTACGGTAAGTATATTGCCTGCATATTGATAACTTATTGGCGTAATACGAAAATAATGAGGTGAATGATGAATATTGAAATGTTAATCGAATCAAGAGATTTTTAAAAATGACAAACACAGCAGAAAGTTCCGGTAATTGAATTAAGCGATTTTTTGTATCATGAAAACGACCCATGTAGTGAGAAAGATGATGCACATCATCAGCTGGCATAAAATGTTTCAAGTTTAGGTGTGTGTGTGTCATACTTGGTTCTTGCAGAAGAAATTAAAATAAAACTGTCTATGAAAAATAATTTTTAATGGAAAAACTGGAAAATGTATTCAAGTTGGGTTCAATTCGAGTAATATAATAAAGTATTTTCTGGTGCTTATTTATTTTCAAAGCTTTACCATTTTTAGCTGCTTGACTACATGGGGTGTGACTCGTGTGAGATTCATACTTGGTCATATTTTGGAAGTATGCTTTAAAATTGAAATTGCAGTATTTTTATTCACAGACGTCAATTCCTGCGCATCAGCAGAGAGTACTTCTTAATTGATCATTAGAAAGGTGTCGTAGCAAGATTTCCTTGTTGATACCATCCCCGAATTGAAATCTTGGATAATGAAGCTATGCGTATATACTGTAGTTGTATAGGTCAAATGCTTCGTTATAAGAATTTCGTTACGCCTGCTGATGTGTAAATATAAGAATATAGGGCACGAAGTCCAGGGCAGCGAACTTTCCGCGGAAAAGAGAAAGCTGCTTATATACAACAGCGAAACGCAGTATAACGTCATACAGTACAGCTGTGCATGAGAACATCAGTAAACCATCATTTTGGGGCATTTCTCGCTTTTACAAGTGCAAGGGTTATTGGTTATGTTGCGGGACGAGTCATTTTTCAGGGAAGCGACATTTTGTTATTCAGTCGATTAACCTAACAGTGCATATGCTGATGTGCTAGCGTGACGTATGGTTTACGTATAGTACATTATTATTGAATACTGCACATCATATTGTGCGTTGATACGTGCCGTAGTTGGATGTTCAAGTCCCAGGGGTACAAAACTCGGACTCGTCCATTGTCTTGCCGTGAATAATTAAATCCAGAAAATCGTCGAAAACACTCCAGTTGAAAGATGTGATATGAGGGAGAGAGATGAAATTGATGGAGTGCGAGTGTCTCTTTCTCTCATCCTCCAATCCACAGTTGTTTTAAGGAAGGCGGCGTTTCGTACGCGCACGTGCACGAGCAAGGAAACAATCTCCTTATTCTCAGGCATCCATCTTATTCCCGCGCCTTTTTGGTTGTCCTTCATGGTCTGGTTTTTCATAATTTGACGCGTATTCCGCGAATCGTTCATGTGGATAGTCAAGGACGATCCGAGAGCCCATATATACCATGGTATTCTCTGCTGTTCAGTGTGGCGTGAAAACCACGGTTTTGATCCCTGAACCGAAGCAGTCCCTCGCCTTTCAGAGGCAAGGGGATTCGAATGTCTCCATTTGCAGAGAACGTGTTGCAATTTAGCTCGCGGAGAGGATCAGTGATATTCTTAGCTAAGGGGGATGTGATAGGATGATGACCTTCACTCATCTAAATTAATAGAAACGCTTTTTGTCCCGCAGAATCTGGCGCATAAGGCATACCGTAGTTTCTGGGTGGAATCACCCGTTTTGCGAGTTCGATCTTACCTGCATTCATGATTTGTCAGGCTGAAGTGTTGCCTTTTATTGGTTCATCGACCTTTCCAGAGAGAATTATAGTGCTATAAATATACGGGGTATATATGATGAAAAATCGTTTGGTCGCGAGTGTAGCGAAGGTAAAAGCTAGTTGATCTGCTCCCGATGGAGTGACACTATTGATATTATTACGATACGCGAATCAAATCATTCAAGAACGGCGAATATGTTCCAGATCCCTCGTAAATATCTAGAGTAATTCACGAGTTTGATTCACTATCAGTCTTGAATGATTCACTAAATGAAAATGAGTTTAAAAAATTGTTCGTGAGTTTCGAAAGAATTTGTTTTGATCATTTCCAAAAATTAATCTTTGCACAGGGGCGCATAATACTCTTACGCGGGCCCTGTATAAATCCATCTAAAGGGAATGTATATGTCATCATTTCAAAACTAAATGCGGCGAAATTTCGTCAAAAAATGGATCCCATTAGTATAACTATTAATCTGATTGAAATGCATTCATCTAGCATCTGGTATCCAACCCAGATTCGCTCAAAAAAATCTTACAACATTTTAAATTACATTATTTTTATTCTCAGTCTCGAGGTCTCCAGAAAAATAAACCTGAATACAATACACCAGCTGACTAAATTTGTCGGAAATTCGTATTCGTCGACTTGAAGAAAAAGAGAATCGAGTGAAAAATGCGCATCCATTTCAGCATTTCTTCCGATCTAAGGTGCGTATACTGTATGGTTGTTCCCAATGCATCGCATTTATAGACGAGAGGAAACAATGTTGCCTATCCCTGTTTTCTCTCGTGGAGCAAAATTCCTTCTGCAGCTGGTCGATCTCAAGTAGATAGATTCCTGTCCTGTTTTCGCATACGATTCACCTCTTCTTAGTCAAACGAAGAAGTGAGGGGAAGAATAGTGTATTTGGGAGAGTGAAGAAATATATACGGTATACTGTACTGTATACACATATGAACACCCCAGAGATCGCCGTATTTTCTCGCGTGAAGCGATGTTCTTCGTCGTGTTTCCTACTCTTGAGTGCAAATTGGGAGAAGCGAGTTTTTTAGAAGATTGGACGCGATGGAGGGGAAAGCAACTGCTGCACTCGTCTACGAGGTACTCACCTTGATTTCGGTGTTGGTGGAATGTGCACGTGTATAGCAGACTTGCCAGCGGGTGCTTTTTTCAGTGTGTGCCGACGCGATGAAGATATTCCTTAATTCAGCTTCAAGTCACAAAACAAAACGAAATAAGTGAATAAAAGTCCAACGAGGCAGCTCTGCTTGTCTTTCATCACTTGGACCGAAAGTTTCATGCACAGTATGTCGTAAACTAAGCATTTATTCAAGTTTAGCGCATATTATGCAACTGGAAATAATTTGTGTGGGCTATTTTTACAAATGTTTGAGGTCTGCATGCTATTAAACGTGTTCCTTGACGCTTTAATCCCCAGCGCTTTTAGAAAAAAAACAATGCATTCGGTTTTTTAAAGTTGTATGCGTCATTATTTGTTTATGTTCACCTAATCCTTGCCATAACAGGCGCTTGTGAAATGCTCATGTTTTTGAAATCCTGAAGCGCGTTCTGGGTTAATGTGTTCATTTAAATACAGGTGCATCGTACATGTTGTGCTGCATATATTACTTTTGTTGATTTTATTTTTGTCTTCTCTGGATTATTCAAGTTGAAAATTGGGGGAAGGTTCAGTTGGGCTTTGCTTGCCTGGGTCACTGGGGGAGTTAGGTTAGGTATTCATAGCTTATGTTAAGATAGATTCAGTTACACCTTGTAGGTATAAGGAGTTATGAATTGAAGAAATAAGGTCTATAGGGTAAAGTTGGTCCATGGGGAACATCCCAAAGTTTTTGGGCAAGGGGGACTCAAATGATGTATCACATTTTCCCATGAGGTCATACTGCTGTTATATTCTCAAATGTGAACAGAAAGGTGAAGAAAAGTTTAATATTTTTCACAGTATTGAATATGCGTTTTGCTGAGCTTCCAATTTTATTATGCAAGTTGTTTGCCAAAAAACATTTTTCATAAAGAAAATGATGGTTGAAATTCAAAGATTTTTTCTACCACTCAGTCTTCTTTTTGCAACATTTTCAAAAAGAGAATCTAGCTGAAGAGTAGAATACTGTAATCAAAAGCTGTAATCTCCAATCAAAGCCAGCCCTGGTATCCAGGATTTAAGTTTTATACAAAAACCTTTGCACAAAATGTTTTTCAGAAAAAAATTGTGTTGTTGTTTGAGGTACAGGTGGCACCTTGCAATTTGACCCTAATCTGTTGCTGGACTAGAGTCAAATTTCAAAATGGCCAAATTCCAAGACAATGTGAAATGGCATGTTTCCTACATGGAATTTGATGTTTCATGTCTCTCCACAGGTCAAATTGTGCAGCAGAGGTTGAATTGAGAGTTGAACTCTTATCAAATGCAACTGTCAAATTGCGGGACAGTCAAATTGCAGGAGGTGAAATTGCAAGGCACCGCCACTGTATTTTATTTATTGGGCCCAGTTTCTCTTGAATAATCAGGAAAATTTCGCATTTTCTTACCCAAAAAGGCAATGGTTTACCTCTAAAATGTGACCCACACATTATGAGGCAATTCTTAGCCTCGAGTCAAACTTGATAAATTACAGGTGGGCTCTCTCTGCAACACTTTTCTAACTCGGTTTTCCTGTTTTCATTTTCCACCATTTGCGCTCTATGAAACTTGGGCTTTTCGTTTGAGTTGGCAACGCTGAGTGTCATTTATTTATTTATATAGATTTTTTTTGCTCCCACGCCAGCAGCAGTCGGTTGGGCGGGAAATCCGACTGAAGGGTGGGTTGACATGTCCCGTGTTTTCCGGTTGACCAACTAGGCTTTTGCCCGCTTCTTCGGAGTAAGGAAGCGAAATGCAGGGGAAAAAATCACTTCTTGGTACCCAGTGAATCTTCAGCATAATGTACAGTATTTCCTCATCACCCAGCTGTGAAAAGCTGCCACTTTCGGCAGTTGACGATATCTCGCGAGCTGGATGGGGAACATTTCTCTCGGGAATTTGCATAGCGGAAGTGTGTGTATACAGATACCTGTGGCGTGCTTTCGTGATTACCTGTGATGACTGCTCGACGTGTAGTGAGAGGGACATATAGCTGCGTCTTCCGGAAAAATTT